CTCCCATGGAAAGCTGAAGATATTTAAACTTAGGGTTCTCAAAATTAACATAATAGTTGTCTTTCTTTCTAAATAGTGCCCAAATACTTTTAACATTAATAGGCGTATAAGCTGCTGTAAATGTTGCACTTGAACTATCTGTATTCTTTGAGAATGAACCGTCCATAGGAATCCAATCCATAACTTTAACAGGAAAACATAAAGCCTCGTTTGTATAATGTTCTACAAGTTCTGTATAAATGTTAGGGTCTAAAGAGAATGACTTTGGATGAATGAAACATTCATTAAAATCCATCTTTGTTCGAAATAGTTGCTGGGTTACAGTTGTAATAGTAACTGTTCCACTAGCTTCTACTGCCTTCGTTATCATAGTGAATGGTTCATTCCATGGAACAAATTTATTTGTCGGTGGATTTGAATCTGAAGCAAATGCAACTTTAAGAGTTGGATTGAAAGCAATGATATCATTTACAGATATAGATGTGCATTGTAAGGCGTCGCTACTGAACTTTACTTTAAGCTGAATGTTTCCTGCAAAAGCTGGAATAAATCGAATAGCTTCTAATGGAAGGAATCTTCTAACAGGAATTCTTAAACGAAGCTTAAAATCAAATGATTTTCCTGCTGTAATTGGACCACTAACAATTTGTCCTGTTCTGCATGTTCCCGAATGACTCCATACATCTTCATGTCGAGTCTTTGAGAAAACATCTACTTTCTTTATTTGTTCGGTAGTTTGTGAGTTTGAAGTTATATATGCTTCTTCTCTTGCGTTGTCTTGAGAATATACGATACGACCATTTGCAAGGATTTGATATCCAGCAACTGCATAGAAAGCGTCATCGAAACCAATCCAAAATCCTGGTGGGTTTGTTTTATTGGAACCTGAACCAATTTCTTTATCTACAATAAATTGACCTTCCATTTTATACGTAATGAATGTATTGTAAAGGTCCAACATATTTTCACCAGGAGGTGAGAGATTGAATGTTACCCATGTGTTATCTTTAGCAGTTCCAGGTTGTGATGGAATCTTTGCGTCAGAATATTTTCTATTAGTGTCACCAATTTGAACTGCATTGTCTATGATATCGAAATATGAGCGAATCTGATGAATATGCTCTGCTGGAGTAAATTCGTTTAACTGTTCGTTCTGCATGTATTTACTTCGGATAAAAATATCTATTTACTTCATTATTCTCACTCTTCTTCTTGGCATTCGTGGTGGAAGTTGTTTCTTGACATTTTCAATGAACTGTACATTCTCTTTTGTCTCAACTTCTTTCACTGGCGGGTCAGGATTCTTTGACTCGGTTTGTTTTTCAATGAAATTCACGAACTTTGCAATAAGCTCTTGGTTCGTTATTGAAAGTACATCTGGCTTCTTTTCTTCTGGTTCTATTGACTTTTCAGTTTGAACAGAAGGTTTTATATGGGCTTCGTGGACTTCACCCTTGCCATGCACCTTAATGTTGTCGCTCTCTGTATTCGCTAATGGAACCTTTCTTTTTCTTACGTATATTTTACCATCTTTACTCTGACTTACATAATAGAAAGGATGTTGTATTCCTCTTGCGTCATTTAATATAATAGACTCTCGCTCTGATTTTGACAAGCTCATTTTACATCGGTTAAAGTTTTAATTTTGTTTTTTATCTGCAGTCAAATGACTCAGACAAGCCCTACGGACAAGACCCAAGGGGTCATAGATGTTGAAGCATTGAAGAAAGAAATTCGTGAGCAAATTTTATCCGAACTGAAGGAACAAAAACAAGAACAAAAGCCAGAGAGACCAAAGAGAAAACTTAGTGAAAAACAACTAGCTGCATTAGCTGCTGGAAGACAGAAGAACCCACGTTTGCTGGCGAAAAAAGCTAGAGAAGAAGCAAAAGCAAAGGAAGAACAAAAGCAAAGGAAGCTGAAGCAAAGAAAGAGTAAATGGTTTATTTTTATCCAAACTAAATGTATAGACAAATACCTTTATCTGTTGCGTTCAGTAGTGAAAACCCTGACGTCAAAATAAAGGGGAACAGAGTAACGTTTAAGTTTCCAACAGACTGGATTGTGAACATAAATGAAGAGAAGTACATTGGCATAACATCTATGTATATAACACGTGCTTTCAGAAAGGTTGACTTTATACTTCAAGTCGAGATAGAAAATGACGAACAGTCTTTAAGCGCCCAAAACATTCACATATACAAATACTTTAAAGACGATACAACATTGTTGCAATGTATGATTTCATTTAATGAGATGTTCGAGAAAAAGTTCAATATTGAAGTACAAACTTTACAGCCTTTACGTGAGTTTCTTGCACAACTGAAAGAAGAAGGTAGTCAGCCACAACTTATAGACTTTCATTATGAATTTAATGAAAATGAAGATGGAACTCATGACTGTCAGTTTGTTATATATTCACCATTCAATGAAGTCGCTAAAAAGAAAGAAAATCCATTACGTATAAGGTTTCAAATCTCTGAACCCAATGAAGACTTCAAGAATGTTTTCAATTATGATGCAATACTTCCGAGGAAAAATGAATTTTCAAAGATTGTAACACCTGGCATTTGGGATAGAAAGCAAGCTATATTATATTCAAACTTAAGTAAGGGAGTTGAAAATGAGTTCATTGGTCATACAAGAAATTCACCACTTCCTAACCCTAAATACTATAAATTAACTGGCTTCAATCGTGAGTTTTGGATAGACATGTTCTCCACTCATGACCATAACTGCCCAGTGTTCTTACCTCCAGACCATAAGGACTGTCTCTACATTGAAGCACAATTGTTAAACTCTACAATAGCTGTATTGTAAATGACCACATAGGCTTCGCCCATGCCGCTAGCGGCTTATTTTTATCACAAATGACCTCATTGCTGACAAAAATAAATGACCTCAGAACTTCAACTTACGAATAAAGCTTGTTTTAGTCGTTATTGAAAAGTTGAACTTTTCAGCAAAGCAAGGTTGACATGACTTACATAAGTCGAATGCAATCTCTTGACCATCATAAAGTGCTTTGTAAAGTTTCATTAAACTGAACTCAGAGTCTTTGTCATATGTTCCAACAGGTATGTGAATGTTCTTATCTTCATTGTAATAGCATTGTATAGCTTCAGGAAACATTTCATTAGCGGTTAAAGCAATAACATCTTGCTTCACGCCTTTCATTCTGCAGTGAAATGCAACTTCATTTAAATCATTCGTGAGTAAGTCTATGTAGGTCTTCTTTCCACAGAAAATACTTTTATAAGCTAAACTTTGTTTTCCAGGTGTTATTTCTGCAAAGTCGCTATGAAATTGACCAAGGTTCTTTCCTATAAGTTCGCGACCGTATCTCTTCTTAAACTCTGCTGCAAGCTTTGGTATGTCTTCATTGAAAATATGCATGCTATCACAGTCCTGGTAAAATATTTGAAGACCCATGTCCTCTGCAGTACAGAATACTTCATTCATAATACGTTTTGACATAGACAGAATATTAACACCAAGTGGACAGAAGTTAAAGTGTCTGCAAATGCTTTTCGTTAGCTTGAAAATAGTTTTATCTGAACCATCCAAACCTTCGAACTTCACTATATGGTTGTAATTTCTTATAGCATATCTTATAGCATCTTTGTCATCTACTATGGTTATTTTTGACTCAATAGGAGATAGAATAGTTTTGCCATAAATGCTGTTCAGAATGAGTTTATAATTTCTTGTAAAGGGGTTTCTTCTTTCTTATACTTTAACCTTAACTCAAACAACTTCTTTACTTCATCTCTTATTCTATATCTCTGTTTCCATCGTAATAGTATCCTTGCAACACTTCACATTTGACACCTTGATATTTTATGAGGTCTTGTAATGTTATATGGTCAACATACATGAGACAGCAAGTGTTTGAACTTCTGGAACGTTAAGTTCTGGATTTAGTTCAGGGTCGCAAACTATTAAAGAAAGTGTCTGTATACCAATCTCTGTTATCTTAATGAGAACAAAGAAGCCAGACATAAACTTTTCACCAATGGGTTCCTTTTGGTCATCATCGAATAAATGTCTCATGAGATACTCTGTGTTTAACATTTCTTCCTTCAATACTTTTGGAATACCTTCTAAAGTATAAAGTCTTGCTATAGCTGATGGATATAATGAAACAGCGTCGAAGTCAGCAATGAGTTTCTTTTTGCTCTTTTGTTTCATGTTATCTGACAACATACATCTTCCACCTTGAATGCATCTCGAAATAAATTCTCTTGGTTTATTTGAGAGGTCATAAAGATTTCCATTCGGGAAGTATACTCTGTTCTCAAACAATTTGTTAGCAATAGAACAAATACTAACGTAGTCATAAACGTTTAAATCAAACTCTTTCAATAAGTCATTGCGGAACTTTACAAAACCTTCTCTTAAAATTCTTACATCTTGTTTGCAGTAAAACGTGCTATATTTTTCTAAGTCGAAGTGGTTCTCATCTATTCTGCAACCTTTGATGGAATCTATGTTTTTCATAAATGTATCTGCATCCCGGATAAACTTACATGCTTCAGAAATGACACCAGTTCTGTTGTCATTTGCTAACAAAACACTGCTGTAGTAGTTATATGGAAATACTTCTTTCGGTCCTGTTTGTAAGTTAAACATAGCAGGAAATAGTTTAAGTTCTTATTTATAACACTGTAAGAGTCTTTTATAATAATTGCCCGTCCTTTATATAAACCAGTTATTTGCATTGTTCGTGAACCTTTAATGATGGGAGTTCCTTTCACTTCTGTCATGTGTCTTAAGATGAAGTTTATGTCATAACTGAGGTTGTGAAAATATATTAAACTCTTGTCAGGGAGTCGTTCCAAAAATTCTGTTGCACAGTTCTGACCCCATATGCTTTCACTCACTGAACCATCTTCACTGTCGTAACATATGTTAAAAGCTTTATGAAAGCCATCAGTACTGCACTCAAAGTCAGCAAAGAAAACGTGCTCAGGAATGAACTTACATTTAGCTTTATTTACTTCTTTTGACTCTGCTTTCTTCTTCAGTTGTACACAATACTTTGGAGCATATGTCAAATCTTTAAATGGTGCAAGGTTCTGTTTATATAAGTCAGTAGTATATGTGAAAAGTTCTCCATAAGAAATAGGTTCAAAATATTTGCACTCCCACAATGTTTTCATAACATCCCATAACGGTGTTGTTCTATCATAACGAACTACATATTTATCTTCTCTCTTTGTATAAATCTTCATTTGTTTCTCAATGTTCATTCCACCACAAGCTTTGAGAATTTCTATATAGTTGTGAATGAAATATGTTGTCATTGGTAATCTTTCGTTTAGCATGTAGTGGTCTTCAACAAGAAGTAAGTCAATAGTTCTAACAGTTTCACATTCTTTTGGTATGTATCTCTTTATTTCATTATGTCTTGAGTCATTGAAATAACCAATGGTAACATTAAATGCTATACCTGTTGCGTCAGAAATTTCTTGTACTTTACTTTGAGGAAAGTCTCTAACACGAATGACTTCTCTCATGTGGTCAATAGTTTCTTCATTTACTCCAGCCTGAATGCAAGCATAAACGAAGCAGTTATCTTCTGTCATAAGTGTTGCAGTTCTTTTGTTCAATTCATTGAAGATTTGGTAGCGCTCAAGATTTATAGGTAATGTGCAAAGATACTTCCAGAACTGACCGCTTCTCTTCTTATAAAACTTCTTTTCACCATTATCTTTCCAAAAGCTTTCTATAAGTGCTGGGTTTCCTGTTTGCTTAAGAGCTTCCAAAATGGCTTTCTGGTCATTTGTCAGTGTGCTTTCATCTCTATATGGTCTCTTTTTTGGTTTGCCTTTCTTTACATCTGACATCGTTAAGCCTTCATATTCTGTTAAATCATACATCTTTATTTCAGTAAGATTCTTTATGTTTGTCAAGAAGAAGTCATAGTGCATTTCAACAATACCTGCAGCATTTGCTTCTATCTCTGATATAAAGTTCTCCTTCAAGAGCTGATGTAGTAATGTTCCAATATTATTGAGGTTTAACGTAGAACATTCATACTTTCCACCAAGTTTATAACATACCATCCATCTTTGTTGTGAGTTTATTTTAATTTTCTCTAAGAGTCTCATGAAAACCTTACCGAAATGTTTGTGTAAGTAGTCTCTGTTTGGTTCATCTAAAGCTTCGATGTTAAAGTCAATGAGTCTATTGCCTGACTTCACATTTCTCTTCCTATTCTCTTCATCTTTCTTTAACCATCTCTCACCTTCTTTTGGTTTGTCGTCAATGGAACGAATGACATCGTTAGCTTTGCGAACTTGTTCTATAGCACTTTTAAACATCTCTCTTCTCTGTTGTTTCAGTGTGTCGTCTCTTCTTCTTGTTTCACCAACGTTCGCATTTGTTATGTCAAACATCTCACGCCTTACTTCATGAGGTATTGAACGTCTATGATATAAGTCAATAGCAACGTCATTTAAAGGAAATGCTATTGCATGGACTTCGTCCTCGCCGCGTTGCGGCTTTATGAACTCATGAATTCTATCATAACTTATTGCACCATTATAGTCTTTAATGAAGTCAGCGAGTGCTTTTTTGTTTGTTGCGTAATGCTTTGCTACTTCTATATTAGCTTCTGTAAGAAGTTGTTTTATTTCCGAGTGTTCTAACTTAGACAACTTCCGATACATCTTTAGTAGGAAATAAAAAAATATTTTTTTGAAAAATTAGATTAGATTTTTTTTAAGTTATTTTTCAAAATAATTTAATATTTTTATTTTAATGAAACACATGCAAGATTGCAAGTTCTTTTCATACAATGCTCTCGCTACTGCCATCAAGAATGAGTTCAATGGTGCTTCAAACGTTAATGTTATCTTTAACAAGAAGTTTGTGAAAGAATCTAAGTTTGGTCAGTATGTCAGACCATTAGCTATTGTCATTGACCGCAAACGTTATACTTCACAAGAGTTAGCAGTAGTTTTGAAACAAAAGAGTATCTTCGTGAATGTCAAAGATACTCATTATACTGTTATAAAGAACTCTAACATTGACTTCTTCAGTATTGCTATGAATCTTTCCGAACAGAAAGAATATAAGAAGGGTGAAACAAATGTGAAATATTATCCTTCATCTCTGAAGACAATAACGAACAAAGATGTTATACAGAAATTCTTACCAAAGGTTGAAGAAGCTTCAATTGACATTGACGAAGGAAGTGAAATGGTTGAAGAAATTGACCCTGAAGCTATTTAAGCAAAAATATATTTTTGGTTAGTCTTCATATCGATATTTTACAACAATTCCCCAATGTATAAACTTTTCATACGCTTTTTCATAAGCTTTATATACCTTCAGAAATTTTGCATAATCTTTAGAAGCATTTAGATATTGTTTAAATGCTTTGTATGTCTTCAGAAATTTTGCATAATCTTTTACATGTTGTTCGTTCTCTTCTTCTGTCATGAGTTCCGAATATTCTAAATTCATGTTCTTTCATATGAGATAAAATTTTATAAAAAAATAAAATTAGCTTAGATTTTTTTATTCTTCCTCTTTGAAGTTATCGAAATATTCTGTTATTTTTTCCTTCAGTAATGGTAAGTCTTCTTTGAATGTAAGTATTGTGCAACCTTTGATGTCATAGTGTGTTTGAGGAAGAGTACTTTTGACAATTTCCTTTATTTGCTCATTCGGTGTCATTGAAATCGGTAAGTTTTCACGATAGAACCAGTTTCTGTCAGATTTGTAAATCTTAGCAAGGTCATAAAAGCTTTTGTTGTTTCTTCTGACTAAATGCAACATAACCATATCTCTGTCTTCTTCTTTCTCCAACTCTTCAGTATATATCATATACTTATAACTCTTTTCCTTTCCTTTTGGTACTGAACGCGGTATTCTTTTCTGTATGCTTTTGTCTTTGGATTCAATGACTTCATCTTTTGCTTGAAGTTTCTTTTCCATCTCTTCACGTTCTTGTCTATGAATTTCGTCAAGAAGTTTACAAACATACCATGAATAGCGAGCTGAAGCCCATTGTGCCACATTATTTACGAGAAGTCTATGTACATACCAACCTCTTAAATTTATTGGCAAATTTTTACGATTTTCATGTGTTTTATGCAAGACCGAGAATTCTCGGTCTAGAGAAATTTCACTCAAAAGTTCTTGTGTGCTTTGGTTTTTGAACCAGTCGTCTGCGTGTTTAGTATCTGGAGCAAAACATGCTGTCAAAATACTTTGCATTTGGTACATATCGTCTTTGACCGAACGAATGAGACGAAGTTGTTTGTTAAACTGTATGTACTCATATTCTTCATTTATGGCTTCATGAACGATAGCAGTTGTTGTGTTCTCTGATGTTGACATATCTGTCTTTACATTCCGGATAAAAAAATAAAAAAAATAAAATTAGCGTTATTTTCTATCTTGTATAAAAGACCAAAAATAAACGCTTTACATGTATTTTTCAGCAATTTCGTCAAATAATTTTATAGCTTTACCTATCTCATCTACTTCAAACGTTTCTTTACCTTTCGTGGGAGCACCATACATTTTCTCAAACTTTTCAAGTAGTTCTGTTTCAGCAGCTCTCATATCGTTAACGAACACAACCTTGACTCTATTGACTGTACTGTCATATCTTTGAGTTATATTATATGTTCTTCCTATCTTATATCTCTTTGTATTGAAGTCTTTCGGTTTCTGAACAATGTAAAGTAAGCCTTCACTGCAACGTTCCGTATCGAATGAACCATATGTTATGAAATTATATCCAACAACTGGGTCAATCCAGAACAAAACTAGTGGTATAAGACTTTTGTCTATAAGATATGTTCTTGTTCCATAGAATCTTACCGATATCATAAGCTCAGGATTTTTTGTCAAAATTTTCTGAGTAGAAGCATTTCTAACCCAGTCGTGGGATGTTTTCTTTTCAGATAGTGTTAGAATGTCTGACAAGGAATATTTTTTGTATTTCTTTGAGTATCTTACGTTTAAATCACCAATTCTAACCATTTTGGTGTCATTGTCTATCTTTCTAACTGTTTCAAACTCAATGTTTAACATTTCCTGTTCTTACATACAAAATAAAAAAAATATTTTAAAAAAACTAGCTTTTATTTTCTATCTTAAGGAAATTCATGAATTTCATACGGAATCCCTTCTCTCGGTTTTCCGAGGGAAGCAAGCATATGCCATTTTACTCAGATTTTTGTTGCTGAATTCAATAAAAATATATTTTAGGTGAAGAGGTGAGATTTCACCTGTTTTTTCACCTAATTTTTCACCTCATGAATTTTCATGATTTCATCGTACATGTTTTGTCAAGACTTCTTCGTACATGAATTTTCATGATTTCATCGTAAATGTTTTGTCAAGACTTCTTCGTAATGAGCGTAAATGACCCAAAAATATATTTTAGGTGAAGAGGTGAGATTTCACCTCTTTTTTCACCTCTTTTTTCACCTGTTTTTTTATAAGCGTTTTACATGAATTGTACGATGTATATTTGAAATCCTAAACAATTTCGTAGCTTCTATTTCTTCGCTGAGGATATCAAAAGTTTTAACAATGCCGAAAGTCTCTTTATATTTCTTCTTGACGTCAGATAGAAGGAAATCTTCTACTGTTGGATAGTTTTTGTTCAGAAATGCTAACATGTCCATTTTATCTTCTGCTGGCTTTTCTGCTTCTTTCTTTAAGTCTGCATAGTCGTTTCTCATTCTTTCTATCTCTTTGACGGAGTAGTTATATTTCCTTATTGCTGCCTTACATTTTGAACATTGCGGGTTCATTTTTGCGTTATATTCTGAAACCTTACCTGCTAAAACAACTAAGGCGTCAATGGTTTTCTTTAACTCAAAAGCAGTTGGTCTTATCTGTTCGTTCCATATTTTACCTCTTCTATCTTTATCTCTTATTTCCCAAACACATTTTGCAACTAATGAAACAAAGTTATCGTAAGTCTTAAACTCCTCAGATTTATATATGTCAGAAATGTTTTTATATACCATGTCGCAATCTTTGTCCATAACTTTATGGTTGCAATGAAAACCAAGGAATTCATAATTTACTTTACGTATGAACTTCTTTATTTCTACTGAGTCAGTTGCTTTGACTTCAATTTCGTCGAATTCAGGAATAGTGAGTTTTTGTTGTTGGATTTCAGGTAGTTTAGGTAAATGGTCAATAATGTCCTGCATTTCATAAAGATATTCTTCATTTTCTTCATCTTTCGCACTACAGTCTAAATTACTTGTTAAAAGTTCTTGCTTTATCTTCTGGATTTCTGTTTCAAAAGTATATGAAGAAGGAATGAAGCTTTTCATTTCTACTAACATAGATGTTGGATTCATGACTAACGAGTTTGGTGCTGTTGTTGTGGACAGAGTCCCGCCGTTCGCGGCTTGAATTGTTGTTGTGCCGATTGTTGAAATCATATCTTTTATACAAAATAAAAAAAATAAAAAAATAAAACTAACTTTATTTTTATTTCGGGAAAATTCATGAAAATTCAAGAGGTGAAAAATTAGGTGAAAAAACAGGTGAGATCTCACCTCTTCACCTAAACATTATTTTTGGTCTTTTGTGAAAATTCATGAAAATTCAAGAGGTGAAAAAACAGGTGAGAAAACAGGTGAAATCTCACCTCTTCACCTATAATATATTTTTGTCTGATTTACATCTAATGAAAAAGTTTAGAAGAATTTTCTTATTCTTTCTGGCATATTTTTGTCTTTCCAGTACTCCCGCTCTAATGGTCCCAGATGTGTTGGCTTCGACTCTCTCAAGTTCTTAGATGGTATAACATCTTCAACGCCTCCTTCATATCTTACTTTATAAGTGTCATCGTTTATGTTGTAGTCAAGTATTTCAATAACCACTCCTCGCTTTGCTTCGTCAATGGTTTCAGCAAGTTTGCCATTACTACTTTCGACTAATTTATGACGAGGGTAAAATGCTATGGAGTCGTCAGCAGCTTTTATAAGATATCCATTACCTTGCGTAGAGTCTACGATATAATAATTTCGACTTAACCTTAAACGTTTCTTTGTCAACGGTTTGTCGTCAAGAACTACACGAACTTTTGTACCAGGAATGAGGGTAAATTGTGTTGAATTTCTGATATTTTGTGTTTGACTTCGTTTCTTTTGTATATACTTTTCTTCTTGTTGTTGTGTCATTGAATTTGGTGTATGTCCTGTTGTAGAATGTGTTGAGGAATTGTAAACTTCGATGAAATGTTTCATTGTTTCTTCGGTAAAGTCTCGCTCTTGATTTAAATCTCTGAGAGTCCTTATGAAGCGGTTAATGATACCGAGTATGTTATGGTTATGGTCTTCAGTAGTGTAGTGAGTTATGTTATGCTTAATGAGAAATTCTGTGATTTCGTTGCTGAGGTATGCACCGTCTTGGTCTGATGTTAAAATACTTGGGCTATGTTCTGCTACAAACTTTTGTAAAACTCTTAACACTTCATGAGTTTCCTTTATTTCTCATTATATACGCAAAAGCTTTGCGAGTGTTAACATTAATGAAGATGAGGAATGGTTTATGTCCTCCTTTTCTGCTTTGAATGAGAGTGTCAAATTGGTATGCGTCAGGAGTGTTGGAGTAAATTGGTAAAAAGTAGTCGTAAGGATTTATTTTTGTTTGATGTACAACATTTTTGTCAAGAACCTTTTCACTTCAGCTCTGTTAGTAAATCCCGAACTCTTTGCAGCTTCATTGAACTTCTTAAATGACCTCCATGGATGTTGTTCGAATACTTCTTTCAAGCTCATTTATGTAAAGTTAAAGATTTTATTCTAGGCTCAAGTGCGTTCATTGAACGCGGTACCATGCGAATACAGTCACAAATGGTGGCATGTAATCTGCACCCGAGCCTGTTGGATTTGTTGTGAAAGTATGGGCATGATTTCCTGCGGTTCCACAGAAAATACCTGCGCTTGAATCTACTGGGTCACTTGAAATATCATATCTATGCATTCCCTGTCTATCCGAACCTGCTGCAAGATTTGTATAACCTCTTTTTGTTATTGAATGTGAATGACTACCTGTTGTGTTTGTAGTTCCTGTATGAGTGTGCGGTGGAAGGTTTGCTTCAGTAATTTTCTTCGAACCTCCTGTTTGCTTTGAAGAGTTAGCACAGTATATAAGAATTTGTCTACAATCTGCTTCCATTCACCAAAACCTAAAACACTTGCTGGATTTGTTGAGTTCATTGACGTATAAATAGAGCCTATAGGATATAATGTTTGAAGTATTTCTGTCTTTAATGTTTGAAGCTCTGTTTTGTCTGCTTTCTTGTCATATAAATCTTGAGCAGTGAATTTAATATTATGTTCATCCTTCATGACATAAACATCTTTACATCTAATGTTTTTCATCGTCGTTATGTCGTCATCCGATGTTAAACCTTGTGGAAAGTTAGGAGGTTTACAATATAATGCATCCCACCAGTTTCTTCAACCGTTCCTTCAATACTTTCTATAGCAACAGTTGTAAAACTTGTATGTGTATGAGTCTTATTTGCTTTTTTATCTAACATTGCTGGTAGTTCATGTGTTTCAAAGTTTCTGACATGACCTTCGATATTCATACATTTGTTATTTAAGGAGTTTAGTGTATCTTTTACGCTTGTACTTGGATTCTCTAAAGGTGCACTTGAACCAAGGGTATAGTTCAATATTATGTCGTCTGCTCTAACAGTTGAGAAGGAGTTATGTGTATGATTTTTGTCAGCTTTACTGTCTAATGTAGCTTGAAGTTCATTTATATCGGAGATATTGTGTTTATGAGATTTCAAAACTTTGTTCATTGCTTCGAGTTCAACTTTGTCAGCTTTACTTTTAATAGCATCTTCAAACGTTATTTTTGACTTAACTCTCAAAGTAAATCTTGGTTCAACTAATACACCGTTAACATTGAAAGTAGAGGCATAAATTTCACCGGTATAACCAAATGCTTCTGGTGCTTTAGCTACATCATACTGTACAGTACAGCTTATGTCATAACCTTTAGCACGAATGTATTTATATCTTCTTTCATTAACATTTTTTGTCTTCGCTTCATCACTTCGTGTTAAATATCCATGGTAGTCCGTTATAATCTGTTCGTCTGAAGTTATATAATGAACATGGTTCTTGTCCGCTTTACTATTTAATGTAGCTTGAAGTTCATTTATATCGGAGATATTGTGTTTATGTTCTTTATCTGCTTTTTCGGCTAATTTCTCTTCTATCTCATTTATTTCAAGTTCATGCCTACCACCACCTCCCGAAGAAGTATTTTTCTTCAGCTCTTGAAGAACGTCCACTTCGCCATCTTTGGTGTCAATAATGAGACTTTGAGTTAAAACCTTTCCTGTCTTAATGGATGTTTGTAAAACTTCTTCTTCACCGTGTTCGGGGTCATGGTCGTCGTCATATCTTGTGAAATCAGAGATGTTGTCATACATTAAGCATATCTGTCTCAAAAGTTCTGCTATTTGAATTGGAACGAAAGATATACAGAACTTTCATCATCTCCTAAAGTCAAGTCTGCTTTCTTAAGTATTTCTTGAATGTATGCAATGAGAACAGAGTACCTTGGAAAATATTCGAACAATATTTCATTAGCTGTTGGTTTTGGTGGTTCTTCTGGAGTTTCTGTTGTTTCAGTTCCTTCTGGAGTTTCTGTTGGAGTTTCTGCATCTCTTGACTTCAATGCTCTTGCTCTCAAAGACCTAAATGTTAGAGCACCGGGTTTTACAAAGGACTTTATAAATGCTTTAATAGTTCCTGGTAAGTTATTGTTAGCATTAAGTAAGTTCCTTATGCTTCCATCATGTACGTCCATAGCACTATGTAAAAAATCTATACTTTTCTTGTAGTCAGCAATAGACTGACTGTGATTTTTTAAAGATTTGTCAATACCTTTAAGCCAATCTTCATGCATGTCTGATACTGAGCCAAGAATATCATTTGCTTCCTTTAGTGTATTTTGTGCTTGTCGTAAAGTATCCAATCCCGTACGTGCATTGTTTGCTATACGTCTTACAGTATCTATTTGACTCCTTGTTTCTTGCATCCAACCAGATAAAGTTTTAATAGTATCCGAACCATTTGAAATGAAGTTCAAAGCATTTTTAACGTCATTTAAAACTTCTTCACCAAGTACAGCCCATATCTTTCCGATTTGGTATTGAAGAACTCCATATGAAGCAGCTGTTAAACCAGTATTTATAAGGTCCCATATCCATGATTTAGCAGTTTTTCCATCCTTTCCATCCTTTCCATCCAAACCGTTTTCGCCTTGAGGTCCTTGTATTCCTTGTATTCCTTGTATTCCTTGTATTCCTTGTATTCCTTGTGGTCCGGTGTCACCCTTCTCTCCTTTCAGTTCATCTTTATGTTCGTTATAATATTCTAATGTCATAAGGTGTACATCATTACTGCTACCAGCAACTCCTAATATTTGTTTCTCATTCATGACTAAATTCTTTAGGCATTTAATGTTGTCGTCAAATCGAAAGCTCTTTAACAATTCAATGAGAACATTTAGTACTTTCACTAATGAGGCATCTACTGTAGAATTTATATATTGCACCGTTCCATCATTTATGATAGGAACTTTACTTATTGTAATGAATGGGTCATAAGTGTTAAAAGTATCGAAATCAATGACTTTTTTAGTTTTTCCATCGTCAATGACTAAATCATTGCCTTCAATGGTTAAAGTTGAGTTTTCGTTTACTAGTTCATGTGCTCTTCTTGCTTCATTTGTTTCATACGCATATGCAGCAATAGTCATATTTTAATGAGAATAAAATGTTGTTCTATTTGCAAAGTACAGACCCAAACGAATACGGACAGTAAAGCTACAAACAAACTTAGGTCTTCAGAATGAAGCACTTGCTTTCAGAGTTGTTGACTTCAATACTATCGCAACTTTTGTCATAACAGATGAAACAGATTTCATGGAGTTTGAAATAGATGGAAAGAAGCATGAAATAAGATTTCACAATAATGTAGAATATAAGATGGAAACATTAGCTGGAGTGTTAAATGCGCTCATAAATACTACAATAAACAAGGAGAACGAAGAAAACTTAATGAATGTTAAACTTATTGCAGGAGTTTTGAAGTTCAGTTATGCGAAGGAGTTTAAGATAACACGAATGAGTCATAGAGTTCAATTGCTTCTGGGAGCATACCATATGACATTTCCTTTGAAAAGTGTTGACAAAACGATTGAGATGAAATCTGTTCCATACGTATGTTATGGTAATTGTTTATACATTGAGTCTAAAATAGCTAATGTCACAGGCATTTCAGGAGTTAATAGTAAAGGTTCAGTAGAATATAAGTCTTTCTGTTATGCAGTCAATTCAATGTTCATTCCAAACGTTCCTGTCATAGCAACTCATTTAGGTAAATGGGTTCGCATTAGTCCTCATAATTTGAAAGACATGCAATTCAGACTTGTTGACTTTCAAGGGCGAGCCTGTAGAACTGAAGGCACCAGTGCGAATGACTGTTGAAGTTGACTTTTTAGAAAATATTAAATGCAACAGCTTACAAGAGAACTCAGAGCTAAAAATATAAAGTATGAATGTTATGTATTAGGTCATGAACTTTGGTTGTTGCTGTTTGATGAAACAAATGAGTTAGTTATGTCAGTCAAGAGAACAGAAAAAGGCGTCAAAGGCGCCGAGCGCAAAGCGCTATATTGTGTTAGTGAAAACTGCACCAAGTCAATAAGATTAGGTTTGCATTATGAAGATGAGTTCGATACTGTTGAAGAAGTTTTGGATAGATATTACAAATTGCTTTAATTTACTAAAACATATTTCAAGCAAAGTTTATATTCTGTTGAAAGTTTTGTATACTCGTTCGAATATTTATACTTAAACTCAACTCCTGTAGTTCCTGGTGTTTCAATGATGCGGATGTTACCTATTTTCATGAATGGTGGCGTTTGACCACAGCATTCGATTTCAGGGTCGAGATAGTCAATGACACATTGTTTCCCTGTTATTCGTGATATAACATTTTCAAGGTCCTCCTTTGTTAGAATTATTTGGTTCTTACTTATAAGATTTGTCAAAAGCTTCTTATCGTCTTTGAGTAAAATTGTTTGGTATAACTGAAGAAGGTAATGGTCTACGTTATCTGAAGGATTTGTTTGAACATTTGTAAGGGTTGTCGTTGGCTTCTCTTGAAAGAATTTGGTCCAGTGGTGGATACTCTAACTTAACATCTGATGTAGCGTTAGCGTTTGAAGCTGTTTAAATTCACGGATTTCAGCTCTGGTTCTTTTTCTTTCAAACACTCTGAACTATAGTTCTTTATGACAATATTGTTTGTCGTTCGTGAGTCAACATTTGATGTTGGTTCAATTGGAACATTAACGGCACCAGCTAAGATGGATTTGCTTCTCATTTCATATAGAATAAAAACCTTTTATATGTATGAAATGAACAATATACTCGACAAGGGTTTGAATGTAAAGCTAACGAATGAAAATATTGTTGAATTCACTGAGACAGGTGCTGTGTATAAAGATGTAGAACTACTGAACAAAAGAGCTAAGGGAAGAAGCAGGAACATGAACAAAGGGTGGAAGCCTATAAAAATTTATGTCAATGATGGCTCAGGAGGTTCAAACATAAAGTATGCAGAAAGTTATAGAGTTTATGCTCTCAAAGGTGAAAAGCCTTCATTTAAGAACAGCTATTCTAACGCATATCCTCAAAAGCTAACGGATGGGGAAGTGGATGATATGAATGACAGCAAAAATATTAACAGAAATGGCGACAGAGATGCATGGAATTTGTTTACCATCAGTCAATTGAAGGTTAAACTTTAAAACAATGTTGGTCGTTCCCATGGAATATTTTTGACTTTAATGGTATTAGTCATGATATGAATCTCAAGGTATGAACGAGGAGAGATGAGAGACTTATATGCTTCCCAAATTTCTTCAAAAGGTAATGTTATACCTGACTGTTTCCAAATGAGTTCAATATCATAACGTGAGAAACCTTGAAAGATAACGAAGTCAGTTATGAGACGTTTTATGTTTAAAGCTAAAAACCTCCATGTTTGCATAAGTATTGCTACAGTTAAGTGGTAATGTCTGACTTTAGTTATGATGTTAGCTAATGGTGAGTCTGGTTTTGACACTAAACCTTTTCCGGCGAAGTCGTCACAAACGAGCAGAGTGTTTGAAGGATACTTTTTGAAGGGGTATTTTGAAAGTTTTGACAGAATGTAGTTTGTCAGTCGTTTCATATCGTAAACTCCTGAGTACTGACGTAAGTGGTGTTTGTCAATAATTCTTTCCATCTCTCTGAAGTCTTTTGCATTCCTGACTGTATAAATTCAACGATGGCATAATATTTCCTCTTACGTCGAATGTAACGTTGAAGAAATTCAATGAGTTCACTGTCTGGAACTTTAACGACCGAGGCTTGAACTTTTGACATAAATGTTTTCGCTGTTGAGTCCATAGAGTCTGAAGTTGCTGATATAATGATTTGGTCATAATATGAGTCATTTCCTAAACGCTCTGTTATGAGTATATGACGAATTAAATTAAATGTCTTACCTGAACCCATCTTTCCACAATAGAAATACACACCATTTGAACAGAACTCATAATCCTTACTGAAAGGAAGAATGAGAGAAGAGTTAAGTTTGTCTGTAGTTTCATTCATGTCTTCATCTACGTCATGTATTAAATGCTTCATTTTATCTCCATTAAAAATGCAAGTCAGAAATATTCAGAACATAGCACCGAGTCTAACTGACAAGAGTATAAAGATATACTATGAACACGTTATGATGAAACCTACCAAAATTCAAGAAAGTCAGTATACTTATGAATATCCAAGACACTGGGTAGAGTATGTAGGAGGTGAGAAAGCTATTGAAATCAAGACAGGTTCGAAGTATTCCAGCAGGAAGAACAATATTATTGAAGAACTTTAATGTTTTGAGATATAATGATGAAACAAAGAAGCAAGATAGTTTTCCTGTTGCTGTGTATGTGAACCTAGACACAGGAGATGACATGAAAGTTTTTAACACAAAGCTTCAAACGGTAGTGAGAGAACAACTGACTGCGGAAGGGCATCCATTACCTTCAGAAGTTACCATAGCATATAATTTTGAAACAAACTCAATAGATTTTAAAGTCATCTCTGCAAAGAAGTCAGGTTTTACATTTAATGAAGCAGATGTATATTCGAATGAAAACTTCAAAGCTATTGCATGGTTAGATAATGACGATTGCTTTAAGAAAATATTTAAATTCAGTGACTCAAAGATGTCAATAGATGACCTTCGTGGAATGTTACCATCGACGTTTACAGTAGAAGGTTCAGCAGGATTGCTTACAAGATTGTCAATTGGTGGTATTTGGTCTCGTGAGAACATTGTTATAAAATCCAGTATAAGTGAATTTGCTGAAGAATCTATATTATGTCTTTCAAACTACATGTATTCGCCGCCGAAGCATTATAGTATAACAAACTTTGTCAGTAAGTTTAACATAAGACTTGTCGAACCTTCTTCAATGAAAGATGTTGTGCTACCTAAAGATGGAAAGGATGGACTCATTATTGAGATGATTTTAATTGCATATTAAATGAGCTTGTTCTTGAAGGTCATTCATGATGAAATAACTGTTGTAGAAGATGTTAGCAATTGTTCAGACATTTTGAAGCGTATAGATGATATAAGAAAGAAGTTAGATAGACCGCAAAGCGGTGAGGGCGAAGCCCGTGAGAATGTTTATGTTTCATTGACTTTCTCCAGTAACGAGAACTTTTATGAGATAATATTGAAGAGAGATGATTTTAATATGGTGTAAATGGTAGCTTGGGCAGCTTTAGGCGCAATGGGAACAAAAGCATTAGCATTTGGAGCAAAAGCACTTGGGGCTTATGACGCAGTAAATAAAATGAGTGGAGGAAGAGTTTCGAAGACATTAGATGCAAATAAAGGAAAGATTGGAGGCTGGGTTGCAAAGAAGTTAAGATTAAATAAAATAGGGCTCATAAATAAAGCATCCAATTTGGTTGCGACTGAGTCAGAAAATGCTTTAGGAAAGGACGATGAGTTTGCAAAACATGCAAAAGACTTTAATGACCAGATGAAAGGTGAAACAATGCATTTAAATAGAGTCGATGGAACTAAAGAAAATGTTTCTTCTCCACCAGTAGTTCTTCCGTATGGTCCCTATGGAATGTATGGAAACCCTTACGAAAGACCATTTGACCCATTGACTGGTGGAAGTAACTGGTATCATTACGGACGAAGAAGAAAGACAGTTAAGCTGGAGACAGACGTGAAGAAAGCAACTAAAAAGAAACCAAGGAAGAGAGTTATAAAGTAATGAATTCAACAGACCCAAAGGGTCAGAGCCGCTTTGCGGCTAGGGTGAAAAAAGAGGTGAAAAAAGAGGTGAGATTTCACCACTTCACCTAAATTTATTTTTGCGCTATGTTTTCATACGTGTGAGGGTGGTGATATCATTAATTTTTAAATAAATGACAGAACAAAAATATAACATTTCTACTCAGCAGGAATGAGACCCTTACTGACTATGTATTCGTTTAATGCTTGATGAAAACAATGGTACATATTATCGTATGGGTATACACAACGTCTGTTTCCATCGTCGTCGTATATGTAGAGCTCAAATCCAGTCCAACCTTCTTTTGTACAATATGTAGCTTTATTTAAGTATGCATTTATGTAGATAAGGCAATTTTCTTCATCGCTCCAGAAATAATTTTTGTTCTTTGTTGAAATAGTTTTCGTTCCTCTGCGACCATAAGGAATGTATGCAATGAACTTTGCGTCATAAGGGATTGTAATATATTCAGGGTTTCTTTCATCGTCAATGGGTCTGTCTTTGTTAAAATGCATGTTTCTCAGTTTTACTTGAGTTTTGAATAGTTCACGGAAACGTTCTGGGAAAGAGTCATAGTAAATGTAGTCGGACATGTCTTTGTAATGAAATAAAAAATTTAAAAAAAATAAAAATAAGGTTATTTTTATTTAGTGAGGACGGTAGTGAAGTCGTTAGTGAAGTCGTTAGTGAAGTCATTAGTGAAATCATTTATGTGTCAGACGGTTTTGTAAATATTTAAGGTTAAGTTGGTTTTATGGTTGTGTTGTAAAATATACGTTACCGGTTTCGTAAAGTGTCAAAACCGCTAAGTGGTGTACGGAGGCGCGCAGTGCCACAGTACACGACTTAGGGATACTAACTTGGTATTGAAAATCCCATGTGTTATAGAACGGCGGGTCCACTATAAAGAAAACATTTTCCTTGTCTTTATATTTTTCATACAACTCTGTCCAATGACATCTCACAAACTCTATACCCTCAATATATTTTTCTATGTCCTCTTTGAAAACATTTGTATAGTTAAGATATAAAACTTTTGACATAAGTGTTTCAATGTCATGAACTCTTATAGAACCACTATATAATAGTCTAGCAGATATACTATTCCAGTCTATATATTCTGCTTTTTTCAAAACCTCTCTCACAATATTTTTCTTATCTAATGGTATACGTTCCATCTTACCTATAGGTATCTTTTCTTTTAACTCTTTCAATATATTGTTTGTGTCTGGAATATGTTTGAGACGGTCCATATAGTTGTCGAAGTCATTGCATATAATCTTTGAGTCAGGAAATACGGTATGACATAAATGGGATATATAGAAACTTCCACCGAACAAATCTACAAATGTTAGACCATTCGGTAGTTTCTTAAGTTCTCTCAATATAATATCTTTACATCTACTCTTATTTCCAAAGAACGGTAACGGTGGTTTTGTAAAATTCATTTATATATAATAATAAAAATGTTTTTACCCGAAAAGTGACAGAAAAGTGACAAAACATGAAAACATATATAATTTGTGAAAAGTGAAACAAAAAGTGACATTTAAAAAGTGACACCATTAATATGATGTAAATAACAACGGTTTTGGTTTTGTCACCGGCTGGTCGGCTGGGGTTCGGTCCTCCTCTTGGGTCTTGGGCAAAATTTCTTATGGGCTAGAGGGCGCAACGCGCCTGAAAGCCCCACTTACCTGACCTCATAAAACAATTATAAATATGAAGATAAAAAGAATTTCATAAAATATTAATAAATATTGAGATGAAAAGAATTTCATAAAACAATTATAAATATTATGATGAAAAGAATTTCATAAAACAATTATAAATATGAAGAGAAAGATAATTTCATAAAACAATTATAAATATGAAGATAAAAAGAATTTCATAAAATATTAATAAATATTGAGATGAAAAGAATTTCATAAAACAATTATAAATATTATGATGAAAAGAATTTCATAAAACAATTATAAATATGAAGAGAAAGATAATTTCATAAAACAATTATAAATATGAAGATAAAAAGAATTTCATAAAATATTAATAAATATTGAGATGAAAAGAATTTCATAAAACAATTATAAATATTATGATGAAAAGAATTTCATAAAACAATTATAAATATGAAGAGAAAGATAATTTCATAAAACAATTATAAATATGAAGATAAAAAGAATTTCATAAAATATTAATAAATATTGAGATGAAAAGAATTTCATAAAACAATTATAAATATTATGATGAAAAGAATTTCATAAAACAATTATAAATATGAAGAGAAAGATAATTTCATAAAACAATTATAAATATGAAGAGAAAGAAAATTTCATAAAGCAACGATAAATATAAAGATAAAAAGAATTTCATAAAACAATTGTAAATATGAAGAGAAAAAGAATTTTATCAAACAATGTTAAAAATGAAATGAAAAAGAATTATATCAAACAATGATAAATATGAAAAGAAAGAGAATACGTTTCATGTTAACATCAGCACCATGGGCAACTAAGAATTGAACAATTTCCATTGAATTCGCTTTGATTGCAATACTAAGAGGGCATTCATTAATATCAAGAGAATTTCATTAAATAGTGGTAAATATGAAGAGAATGAAAATATCATAAAACAATGATAAATACGAAAAGAAAGAAATTATAAATTTTGTTGATATCTTCTCCATTAGAAAGTAAATAAGATGCAATATGATAATTTCCGAAATACATACTTTCTGCTATTGAATCAAATGTTTGACCTAAGTTTGATTTAAGGTACTCAGCAATTTCATAGTTTCGATAATCCAATGCTGTATTAATCATGTTATCAAATGATTTACCATCTTCTATCATTTGCATAAAAATGTTTGTATTTCCGCCTTGAACAGCATATTCTTCGGATTTATCTGTGTATTGAGCTCCTAAATTTTTCAAGTAATTGAAACACAATTCTGATCCATATTTAATTGAACAATCAAGTGGCCTGATATCATTAATTCTTTTTTTAATATCAAGTTTTGGGAATTTCCTCTTAAGATCATTAACTTTATCCCATGCAATATAGTATAAAGGCGATTCTGTTGAATATAACTTCAGAATTTTTTCTTCTTTCATTATAGGTTTGAATTTTTCAAATTTGAGACCTTTATAATGTAAAAGTGTCGCTAATTTCTGATTTTTCGGCTGGATGATGCATGAAAATTCGTTTGTTATCTTTTGATAAAGTTCTGTAAATAATCTAATTTCTTTAACTCGAATTTGTGAAAAAATATCAATCAAGTGAAGTACCATTTTGATAGATATTTTGCAAGTTGTAATTAATTCGATAATTTGTGAGGATATCTGTAAAATATTTTTTGAATTGACGCCCCAAATAATTTTTGATGCTTGATCTGGGTATTCGAATGCTTCAATGGGCTTAAGGTCATTGTAATTACACCTATTTTCATTTTTTGGTTGCTCTGAACTTGACATGTCAAGCTTTTAAAAAAATTTATCTGTGGCACTTTTTTCGGTTAAAAATTCAATATCTAACTTTTGTGGCCAAAAATTTTTCTTATTTTAATTCTGTATTCATAATATATAAGTATTTATAATGCATATTCTATCTTCTGATTTGTAAAAATTCATTGTCCGTCACTGGAATATCATGTTTTGGCTCGAAAGTGTTGAATAAAGTTCGACGATACATAGTGTGAAGATGCAAACATATAACAATTCTTTAGGCCAAAAAATCAAATATGATTTAATATAATTTCGGGCATCAGGCTAGTTTGTCATTAGGCAAAATATATGATCAAGAATCATTCGATTTTAGATCAAATCACTATTTTGCAAAAAAAAAAGAAAGTCATCAAACCCTCAGTATATGCTATTACACTTAAATACATATATCTTTAGAGAATATATTAGACTTTATCAGCTCATACTTATAATAAAACTGCAGTTGTATCATTTAAAGTTGAATTCATTTTAACTATTTTGTTGATTTGATAACTTTAAATTATAAGAAAACAATATTATCCACGGAATTTTCTGTATTAGATGCTAAAACATATCAGAAATATGCTAATAATTGAATATCTCAAATAATTTTTCCAAAATAATACTATTTACAATAAAACAAAATCAATAATCTGTTGATCCGTAGAATTCTATAGCATTAAGACATATTCTCGGTAGCTTTGATTCGTTCTTTCCGAGTAATCTGAGTCTAAGATACCAATAACAAGAAGCATTGCAGGCTCTAAATGTTGCCACAGTATTTGGATCATTTAAAACATGGCAGTCTTCATGTTTGTCTAAGAGATCCCAATGAATTTCGTCATTTGAACCTTCAATGGCCCAACTAATCATATGATTAGTATATCTATTATGGTATGATGTCTTTATGGTATAAGCTGATATTGAAACTCTTTCTGTCATAAAATGGAAAATAATTGCAGGTGAATTTTCAGTAATTTTGCTAATTGATGTAATAAAGTAATCTATTTTATTTGGATCTAATATTCTGCTCAGATTAGTTGTGTCTCCTGTTGTTGACGTGATTTCAACAATTTTATCATTAACTAAATCGGCTGATTCGTATTTCATCTTGAGAGTGTAGAATATTCCTTTGAATAAATCATTTGGCTCCTCGATTGGTTCTTGGTTTGGAACAAATTGGTTTTTATTTTCTGGAAGAGATTCTTTATTCATACCAAGCTTGTAAATCAATGATTTCCATAGTTCTAATGTAATCATTGAAGGCGAGAGTTTATTAATTAGCTCTGTGATTTCTTCATTCGTTGAATTTGAAATTGGAAAGTACTTCAAAAGAATAGACGAGTCATTTCCATACAATGCTATGGATTCTAGTATAATGGTTGAAATTTCTTTGCAATATTTGTTTGTTTCGGAAGAAATTTTTTCCAAAAATAAATTCACGAATTCCAGTCCGACTTTTGCTAATTCCTTAAGATTTATCTTGTCAATGTTGTTTATAGCGTATTCTAATTCTTTGTTGAAACTTATATTTAAAATAAATTTTGCTTTTATCTTCCAAATAACTGAAAATGCATCAATTTCTTGTTGTACGTATTCTGATGCAATCTCAGCAATTTCTGAGTTTCCAAGTTGATTTGCGATATCAAAAATCAGATCTGCGTTTGAAACATCAATTGATAGAGGTTCTCCTTGTAATGATTTATATATTATCTCAAAGCAATTCATTGGGTCGTTGATTTTAAACTCGTTTAATGATGCATCTGATTTTATTGCTTTTGCAACAGCTGGTGAAAGAAAAATAGCAATAACTCTATTGCATTTATAAGTTTTTGTATCTGTTACGAATGAGAAGTCTTCATCAACCTGGCAGCCTATTAAGTTAGAGAAGCCTTTTGATGACAAGAAAGTCATTGGCAATTTTTCATGAGATAGAATCTACTAAAAATAATAAACATTAATTTATTTTTTGGTAAATATCTTAGTGCATCGTTTTTGTTCAAATGAAAGAAGATGTTGGTTAATTTCGAATTATTCTGATAAATAAAGCCATGTTATTCATAAATTATGATTTGATTCTAGCTGCTTAGTATGTTTTATGGTATTTTGCTTTATAATGTTCATTTTTTCTATGAGATTTCCGTTGAAAAATTCAAAAATCTTGATTTTGAAATAAAATGGAACAGAGTATCCGCTTGATTTTGTCATCTGAGACGAAACCAACGGAACAAAATCTTGTAGTAGTTTGCAATAAAATACTTTCTTCTCCTGGAGAACATTTCTCTTCGGATATTTATTTATTACTTGCAGAAAGATTCTTCGATCTCCCAAAGCCATATCAAAAAGCAAATGTAGATCGCGCTGAAAAAGTCATTACTATATATACTCACCTACAAGAACCATTAAATCAATATCAGATAAGATCGTTAATTGTACAAGCATTAATTAGCAGCTTCAGAGGAGAATCAGAGCGTGGTGTTAAAGCAAGAGAACTCAATATTAAAGCAATAGACATTTTACAGAGAGCTTTTAAAGCAATTCAAGAACATCCACTATATCAACCACTTGCTCTCCGAGCATGTTTTGTATTATATGATATTGCACGACCATTCTTTCCAAATGAAGAGAGATATAATCTACAATCTATTTTAGCAATTGCAGTTCCTTTGCTTGAAACTCACTTACAACCGAAACTCAATGTGAATCTTCGTCTATACATTGCATTATGTCTTTTATACGGTTTTATTCTTGATGATGTTTCAAAATCAGAAGAAGCTTCGAAATTAATTCAAAAATTATTCACACATATACCATCAAATCTTCTACAATTACGATATTCGCTTTTACACATCTTAGTTCACTTCTCTAGGAAGTCTGTTGCTCCTTTACTCAAAATGAAACTTGAATTAAATGATCAAGTTCAAAAATCAATTATTTTATATCAAGGATCATATTCAACAAATCAAACAAATCCTAAAGATATCCAAGAATCCTTCAAAATGCTTTGCCAAGTCCTCGATCAGAAGAAAGACAATGATGATACAACAGCAGCCGAAATAACAATTGGAGAAATAGGAAGATACGCGCTACACATTGGGCAGATGCAGCTTGCTAATGATTGCCAGCAGAGAGCATCTTCTGCTCGTTCTTCCCTCGCAAAATATCATGCAAGTTTGATTTTGGCAGAAATAAATTTAAGTAAAAATTTGCCAAGCGATGAAAGAATCAATCAAATCACCAATTTGTCGCATATCATGACACAAGCATTCCAACAGAATGAAACATCAATTGTTCAAGATAGCTGTGTCTGTTTGTGGTCGAATATTTTGATGGTTTTGGACAGACCAAATGATATAATGAAACCTCTTCAAACCGCCATTGAAATTTTGAACAAAATTGGATCACAACTCTATCAAATGCAATCCCAAATGATGTTTGTTATGTCTAAAGTGTTGAACAGCCTTGGAGAACCTAATAGAGCTTTAGATCAATTAAAACAAGCATCCAACATTGATTATTATGTTCCTGAACATCCATCAAAATTGACTCATCCTTTTGACAGATTTTTAATACCAGAAACAAGACAAACAACAATTATTTTAGATCCTTTAGTACAGCAACAAGATCCATTAGACCGATGCATGCAATTCTTGTACCAAAAGAATATAACAGAAGATACTCTTGACATGGCTTTCATGATGGTCAAAGATTTCACTGAAAAAGTTGCTCAAATGGAAGCAGATAATGCAGCTTATGTATCAAAGATATGGTATGAATTAGTTAAAAACGCTATTAATATCAAGTGCTATGATAGAGCTGTCCAATTCTGCCTTCAACTGTCTGATATTCATTGGGATCCTGTTGTTTATGATTATGCAATTGAAATTCAATGCGAAACAATGATTTTGGGAATCCAAGCGATTTTTAATCCCAAAGAACACTTGGATCAAAACAGATTGTATTGTGTTGAATTCATTAATTTCGTTTTGACACAGATGAAGGAAATAAAGAAGAATAATTTCCCTCAACAAGGACCTGTTTTTGTTTGGAATGTTTTGTATTCGAAATATTTCGAAGAATTGTCAACTGGCTCAAGTACAAATTCTGTTTCAAAATCATCAAAATCTTCTGGTTCAAATGCAAAGAATTCATCCGCAGTTTCTATGGAATTTGTTGATCCTGCATACCAAACAATTGCAAACATTTATAGCATAAGAAAAGACAGATTAGGATTTAATGCAATTGCCACATTTTGGAACACATATTTAGTTAAAACTCCGCCACAAAATTGTCATGATATAGTTGAATTCATTGGCGAATGCTGCACAGCTATTTACGATATCATTGATTTCTATCCAGCAAGGCAATTAAGTGGACATTTAACTAACTATTACGTGAATATTATTCTTTCAATGTGCGCAGAGAATCAAAACCAAGCTGCGCAAACGCAAACTAATCAAAACAGTAACACAAAAGGAAAGAAACCTCCGGCAATGGATCCAGCAAAACAGAAACTTCTTAAAACAGCGGAAGATATTATAATGAAAGCAATTCCTTATGTTGTAACTATTTCAGAAAAGAAATGTTTAGTTGATAGACTTGTTGATATATTCCAGAAGAGAAATGCATTGCCTCCAAACATTTCAGACAATGATTTCTCGAATTTGATCAATATTCAAACAATTATGAATGAAAAAGTACAACATAAAGCAGAAACACTTGCACAGATCTTTACTACATGCACTGATCCAATGGTTCAAGCTTTGGTTAGTGAGAAAGCTTTGAAATTGGATTTGCATCAGTTATCTATTGATTCTGCAACAAAATGTATAGAAATCATCAATAAACCAGTAAATAAAGATGATTTTTATCATTTAGGATTAAGCCATTTCTGCAGGGGAATGACGTATTTAAAGCTCATTCAACCAACACTTCAAGAATTCTCTTGCCAAGATAACTTGAGAAAAGACAGTTCATTTGATTTCCTTAAATCAATTGAATACTTCAATAAAGCGACATCAATTGAGAATGCAAGATTGGCACTTCAATATTTCTGTGCCTGTATAAGCGAAGGTGAAGAATATCCTGTATTTAGAATGATGATTGCTCCTCATTTACAAAATGCTTTGAAATTATCAAAAGAAATTGGAATCGATGATAAAAACAGTGTGAGATTGTATCATATTTTGATACAAGCTTACATTGATCAGAACGAATGGAAGACAGCAAGAAAGATCATGCAAGAAGCAATCTCTGTTCTAAATAAGAGTGTTCATTGCGATCTTTGGAGATTGAATCTGATAATCACAAATAAATTGGATTGTCAAAAATCTCAAAATGCTTTGTTGGATGAAATGTTGAGAGTTAAACAGCTCGGAGATTCCAAGTATCAAAGCGATTTGTGGTCTTTCGTTGCTGATTTAAGTACAGATCCGATTGTACAATGCACAAGCCTTGAAAAAGCTATTGATTCGCTCAGACAAATCGATCAAATGGAAAGATTTAGAGCTAATTTGAATTTCGCAAAATGGCTGACGAAAAATAAATCTGATAGTGATATAATAGAGAAAGTTATTGATGATGCAAAAGCTGCAATACAAGATAAACCTGCAAATGAAATAAATGCATGTAAAATACATTTATTACATTTGGAATTAACATTAGCAAATGATAAAATAAGATTTGAACAGCTTCTTAAAGAAACAATTGATTTATGCAACGATTTATGGAATCAAATTGTTCAAGTTAATGTTGTTTCTGAAGATGATGACTCAGAAACTAAAAAGGCAAAAATGAAGGAAAGAAAGAATTTGCATAAAAACGACAAAAACAATCAAGTCAAAGAAGAAACACCTGCAACATTTGTTGATAATGGGCAAGCTTCTGGTTGGATATCATTGATAGCAAATGCTGAATCTCACAAACACTTAAACCTCCAAGATTTGGAAGAATGCATGCAAGAAATCATTGAAATTATTGATGTTTGTTCTTTGTGCGGCTACGAATACCAAATGTTGAAATTCTGGTATTTGCTTTTCAGTATGAATAAGACATTGAACTGTCCAAGATTCGAGCATTTTGTACAGTTAAAGTTTAGATTGTTCTGTGATAGATTGAACTTGAGTTCAACTGTTCCTTATCCAACAGACTTCACTTTAACTGAAGCGGAAATGCATTATTGGCATGAAATTGTTGGAAGATACAAAACAGATTTGCCATCCAAACTTCCTCCATTGAGAAAATTACTTCTCAAAGCCAGTGAAATTGAAATCGAATTCGGTGAATATAAAAACGCTTTGTATTTAATTAATACAGCGTTGAATCAAAGTGAACAATTAAACGACGACCAAACTAAATCTGTCTGCCAAAGAATGACAGCTTTGATTGAGAGTAGATCAGGACATTACGATTTAGCAACGAATTTGATCATGGAATCAAGTAAAATTGGAAAGCAAACATTCGATTTCTGGTTGGAATGGTATAAAACAGCCTTTACAATTGGTGGAAATCCTGTTTTCACCTTCTCTTTAGTTGAAAGCGCTTTGAGACAACTCAAACCTTCCTCTTGTTTCGAGAAAATGAAATTCGATACATTGATCAAAGACACTTGTGTTTTCATTGCTCCTCTTGATTGCCACAGTCTTTTGGATATCTATGATCCTGATTTAACAACAATGACTGGATTAGATGTTTTTATTTATATTTGTCAAAGAGCATTGGAATCCGATCAATTTCCAAAAGATGTTGTTGAATTTAGAGATGTTGGAAATAAAATCAGGAATCTTATCGATATCACGGAAGATAATTACAACCAAACATCTGATCTAGGTGATGATGAATCATTACCACAGTTAATAAGATATGTAATGGCAATAAATTTGTTTGGAACAATTGTTGTCAAATTTGCTCCGATTATTTCTAAATACGAAAGACAAGGAATTGATTACGATGTTTTGGGAAGCCATTCAAGTTTATATGCAGAATTTGTTGATGAATCTCAACAACCACTCCAAGATTTATCTCCTTCTGCAGCAATTTTGAAATTTAATGCAATCCAAAACATTTCTTATATTCCTCAAAGACTGAAAACAGAAATGACGATGTTGCTTGGTCAATGCATTCATTTCGTTGCTGATGACAATGTTATTTTGCAGAACTCAGTTAATCATATGTTATCTGCTGTTAATTTGTTGTTGCAAAGCTTCGAATATCAAAAAGCAGGAATTCTTTCTCTTGAATTATTTGATATTCTAAAAGAAACTGATCCAAAAGGTTCTATTTATCAGTTCCTTATCTCTCAAGGTTGTGCAAGTTATCTTAGTAGAATGATTGACTTAGAAAACAATTCACAACCAGACAATAGAGAATTGATTTTTGTTCATGAAGCAAATAGATTAAGAAGAAGATTTTTCAATCCTAATTCATCACAGATGTATACAACATCAATGAATTACTTCTCACAGATCAAATCTGCGACTAATTTGGTCATTTTCAATGTGAATTATGATGAAATTAAGAATTTCTGTCTTTCAAAGAAAATTTCTTTGATTGTTTTCGAAGATTTTGGTGACGGACTAGATGTCAGTTTCATCAATTTCAATGAGAAAGAAAGCATGGCGACAAAGCGTATTACAATTGATTTGGATGATGTCAACATGAGATATGATATATTCAAGCAAATCATTGCAACGCCAAAGACAGATAATGCTGATGAAGCTCAAAAATCAGTGAATGCAACACAACAATCAAAAGGAAAGAAACCTGTTAAAAAGTCAAACATAAAGTCTATTAAGTCAACAACTACATCAACAAGCATTGAAATTACTTCTTCATTTGCAAGAGAAGCCATGAAAACAAACAACCAAGAATTCGTTAGATTCATTCAAGAATTGGAGAATTCAATTTCCCCTGTTAGAGAAATCCTTCCAATTGAGCATGATAACGAGAATATTTTAATTCTTTCCAGTGATGCAAGAGTTCATGTTATTCCTTTTGAATGTTTGGATGTATTTGCAAAGTATCAAAACATCTTTAGAGACCTCTCAATTGCTTCTGCAATTCATAGACAAACATTAACTTCTAATGCGCCATCCTTCGACAAAAATCAAGTATAATTTTTATTTATTTGTTTTAATTTTGTGTTTTAATAAATATATCCTTATTGTAATATCTAAAACTGTAACTTAAAGAAAAATATTGTTGTATCTCGTCAATTATCTTGTACTATTAAATGATCATGCTTTCAATCATATATAGTAATAAAGTATAATTGAATCCGTAAAATCTAAAATAACATAAAATTTTAAACATCAGAAGGATAAATTTTTTATTCATTCTTTGATATCATATTTGGATTTATTTCCCATTAAGCCAGCGTTCGTATATGTTATGGCCCATTGTCCAGGAGGAACCCATTGTTTGGTTCTCGGATACGGAGCGGCGCCATTACCAGGTATCACTGATGCTGAATGTTCCTTTGTCGGATGGAAGCAGCATGAAAATACAATGCCATTTTCTTCTCCACCAATGAACCTACCACCGCCTTTTATGTCGTAAGCAGAGTGCTTACTTCTGGTGAACATCTTACCCGTGCTCTTTAGAAGATCATTAAGATCTGCGTTGATGTTGATATTAATAGACATTAATAAAAATGAACTGAATGCAATTATTGAATACTTCACAAAATAATTCAATAAAAATTTCACATATCGGAAAATTTTGAAAAATTTAGGATTTGAAAATATTTTTTCTGATTTAAGAACATAGGTAGCATACTCACATAATTTTATGATCTTGAGTTAATCGTGTTCAATTTGAATACTTTACAAAATAAATTGTGTATTAACTTATTTTCATTTTTTAAGTCTCCAACAATGAATATATAATGAATATGATCTTATATGTAATGAGTGGAAAAAACTTTTCTAATTAGAATATGATTGGAAAAAAAATAAAATAAAATAAAAAAAAAACTTTTCTAATTGAGGAAATATTAACATTTACAATTATACTACTATTTTCTTCTCAACAGTTGATCTTTCAGCTTCTTTATCTCTCTTAATTTTAAGGTAGATAAGTACAATTATTACACCAATAACTATCAGTACAATTAGAGTTACAATAATTGGGACAACAACATTTTTAGATTTCTTTTTTGGTAATCTCATTTGACTCATATCTACAGGATCCATTCCAAGTTTGTTCAATCTAGACCCCTTTTTAATCGAATAGTCACCTTTCTTAAAGTCAGCAAAGTCTTTTTCTGTAGCATTAATATAGTTATTAACGAATACTTCGCTATATAAGAATGTTTTGTTGTACTTTTCAACAGGCATGAATAAGGCTGAATTTGATGGATATATATAACAATTATCAAAAACGTAAGCAGATGGTGGAATAAGAGGTACTTCAACTGTATCATTCTTATAATAGTTATCAATAACAGATAAGTTTGGATATGTTGTAATATAAGGAGGAAGATTTCCTTTGACTTTTGGATCATTACGAATGTTGTAGAATTGGCGTTTTAATATTGGTTGAAAATAATCAGCGTTAGTAATACCTCTTGCATCAATCCACATTGCATAAGTAGCATTGACTATTATATTGTTTCGCGCATAATAATCTCTTCCTCCACCAAGCCATATTGATCTACCAGCATTCACCAATATATTATGAGTAACAATTGTTCCACTCTCAACATCGTCCATAAAAACTCCTTGATGTATTTCATTATTAGGAACTAAGGCATGAATATAATTGTATCTAACTGTATTATTCCTTGTTGTATAGTCCTGAGCTGCATAAATAGCCGATGTTGGGTATGGAGATTCAAATATATCAGAAAATTCATTGTATTCAAAAAGCAAGTTGTTTCCTATGTAATAAATTCCATGACCAGCGCCATGATGTATATAGCAATGCGATACTACTATTCCAACACCTTCAATCCTTAATGCAGGTGTAAATCCATTTCTATTCATATTGCAATACCAATAAACTTCGGTGTTTAAAATTGAAACATTTGAATGTTGTAATGTTTTTCGATTTCCGGCATCATAGATGAAAATTGCTTTATTTAATACATGATGAATCTTGCAGTTCCTGATCATATTATCATTTCCTGTCATTAGAATGCCAATATTGCCAATATTGAAAATTTCGCAATTATCAATTAAAACTTGCCTGCATAAGAACAAGTTAATAGCAGTTGTAGGTGTGCATTCAATGCTTATGTCTTTGATGACGATATCTGTAATGTATCTTGATCTAATGATGTCATCAGTGAAATTTGATAAAATTATTTCGGATTTTGAGTTAATTTTATCGAAAGGATAAAAATAAAGGATTTTGGTATCATAATCAATATAATAATCCCCTGGATATCGAAGTTCTTCCAAAATATTATAAAATACTAATTTCGCATTTTTTCCTGTTTTTTGAGGTTGACGGAAATAAACTTTGTGATTTTCATAGTCTATCTTCGAAACTTTCCTCAGGACACCAGAATACCCAAAATCCCAACCTCCCCAAGCCATAATATTAGGATGGAATTTCCAATATCTTCTTCATCTTCATTGAATTGTAAAATCAATGAACACTACATATATATTTGGAATTAATTTAACCTACCGAACATTCTGAAAGTTAATAAACTAATTATTTATTAATAAAAATACATACAAAAAAATAAAAACATAAAAGTTTTTTTTGTCTTAGTTATGATTTTTCTTTAATTGGCTCCAATATCCTTTTTGTTCTGTCATTTCATGATACAAGTGATTCCACAACTCCTCACAGTGTTTCCTTCTATTTCTTGTCATACTGTTGAAGTTGTCAATGCTTTGCAAAGCACCTTCAGCAGAAGAAGCGTTTGTCATGTTCAAAAACTTTCTTGCGACATTGCAACTTGTTTCCCACAAACTCTGCATCTTTGTTACAACTTGTTTCGGCAGATTATCAAGTGGAATCTGAGTTGCAACTTCAGAAAGACTTGTAAAACAGTTGTATCTGTCTGGAGGAGGCAAACCATTGATGGAAACATTTAATTCGAATGCTTTCATCGATAAATAATTCAAAGAAACTGGATTTCCTTTGAAAAATGATGGATTTGACATCAAAAACTTAATATGAGACATAACTTTCGTTGGATCAGTTCTCAAAGCGAAAGAAGTCAAAATTACATCATAATTCAACAGATTAATATCAAAACACTTTTCGTGTAAATACAAAGCACGAATTGCAGTTGGAAAATCTGTCCAAACTCCTTCTACAACTCTTGGACTAAATACAGGAGAAATCATTTGGTTTGATATATTCTTGATATCACCAAAAATAGTATTAATAGTTATTGGATTCTCTTCTTTCTTCTTTTCTTCCTTTTTTTGTAAATTTGATGAAAAAATTGAATTAGAAAAGTGACATTCTAAATTCTTGAAATGTTCATCAAAAGTTCTGAACAAAAGGTCATCAAAAATAGTTGTTACGACCTTTCCTATTATTTCCTGATTGTATTTTGATGGATTCTGTTCTATTTCGTCCAAAACAAAATTAACAAACGGAATCAACAAATCAGAAATTTTCAAATTCAAAATCAAAGCTGTTATTTGCATAATAGAACATGTTACTCTGAATATAACTGGTCTCTGAGTAAACAATGCATTGGATAAATATTTCTTACTATCATAACCGCAATAACCGAAAATGATACACACCCATAAAACGTCTTTTGCCAAAAAATTGACATGAGAAGAGAAATCGATTTTTTGGACGTATTCATCCAAATTTATTTTTGATTTTAGATTGATCAAAATCATTTCCAACATTGGAGTTAATTCCGGACATTTTATATCCATCAAACAATCAGCAGTTTGTTTTGTAATCAAATTAGAATCGAATTCTCTCATTAAAATACTCGAATGTTGATCCATGGAAATTTGATTGACAATTTCTTTTTTGTGCAACAGAATAATTATGTCTAAAAGAGAAATAAATATCTCTGTATCTGAATATCTCATCAACATATGTAACATGGAAATGAAGTGACCAATTTGTTGTAAAATTTGACAATTTTCCATTTCCATGATTATTTCTTTCAATATCTTTAAAAGAATTTTGATCTTGAATGGTTCATTTGTTGTTATGATTTGGCCAATGACCAAAAGAAAACTTTGCGAATCAAAATTCTTTTTAGATATTGTAAGAATTAGTTTTGTGATGTTTTTGACGGTTTTTTCTGACATTTCACTTTTTATTGAACTCTGTTCAAGAAGAATGATAAGAAGTGAATTGACCGGTAATAAAATTGACTTAATTACATCATCAGTGTAATTATTCAGCCAATTCTCAGAAATTTGGTACAAAACTTGTGATTCTGACTTCGACCAAATTGTCAGATCCAACAAAACGTTTTTCTGGAGGTTTGACAAGAGTTTAGTGTTCGTTACATTGTTAGTCATCTCAATAAACTCTTTGTACAAATCATATGTCAAATATTTTCTGTCAAAAAGTGACAAAAGATAAGAAAATATTCCAGAAACTCTGTTTTCTATAAATGATTGTTGTATTTGGTCGAATGACTTCAAAAGTGAAGTGAACAATTTTGTAACCATAACCGCCAAATTGTCAAATTTTTGACCGTTTATATTTGACATATTGACGGATTTGAACAAAAACAGAAGACAAGGAATATCAAACATTTTCACTAAAACATCGTAAAAATTAATCGTGTGTTCGTAAACTGTGTTACAAATTAACTTCACTTCACCTGTCACGTTTTGTAAAATTTGAGGAATCATTGCTCTTGATTCGTCATCGAAGTTTACAGCGAAAATTTGTTTTCCTTGGCAATCCGTTGTTGAAAAACTTGTCAAATAAACTAAAGGATACTGTTTTGTTGATACAACTTTTCCGACACACATTGAAAAACTTCCATACAATGAGAAATCCAAAGAATGCGTGTTTCTCGATGATTCTAAACCGTTTATCGTCATTTTCACTTCACTTGAGTCTATTTTCAGTGTGAAAGTGTTTAGTTCACCTGTTATTATTTCGGCATTATTTATTAAGGTGAACTGACCACTTTTAACGATAAGTTTTCGGTTCCTTACTGAAACATCGATAATTGGAGTTTCATCTGCTAATATTAATATCATAGAATACTCATCACATTCGAATGGCTCTATAAACAATGTAAAATTGATCAAACAACCTGATTCGAATACTTGGAATGGAATTGAGTTGAATTCTAAGAGATATGACTTAGATGGGAAATTCAGATATCTCCTGGGCTGGTTATTGGCCGTAGTAATGATCTCTGAAAGCAAGTTTAAGTAGATCGGATAATAAATTGAGAGAAAATTGTTCTTGGAAGGGAGTAATAGGTTAATAAATGACTTCACTGAGTTAGGTGATGAAACAATTTTGAAGATTTTGCCCAAAATTTTCAGTAAATTTATGATATTTGGATTTTCTTCTTTATCCCAATTAGCTTGTTGAATAATACTTAAGAAGAATGAGTCAATCTCTCCATTGTGCAATGCGATTATGTTCTGGAATGAGTTGGAAGCTATGATATCTGTATATTGTATCCAATCACTAATTGTTCCGTTGACTTTGCAGTCCATATAGAGAGCTCTGTACACATTGATGTTGGATATGCGGTTTTTGTCCTTATCGCTCGTTAAGATTTGGACTAATAAAGATTTAATTTGGTCAATATACTGAGTATTACGGAGTCTCAGGGTTGTTTGCTCCAGGGCTGCATTGTTCTGTGGAGAAAGAGGGGCTACGTCGTGTTCGTAATGAACAAATTTTAATGATTCAATGAAAAACATGTAAGAACTATCTTTATCGGGTGCCAAACTACTTAGTGCCTGTAGAATTGAATTAATAATGTCCGAAAAGACTTGGGCGAGTTCATTTTTTTGAGATATCATATTATTTGTCATTCCAAGCAACTGAAGAGCCAAATTAACATGTGGTTCATCAGGGAAATGGAGTAATAATATTTCTATTGTCGAAATAAACGATGAAATCAAAGGACTTGAAAAATCATCGTTTTGAGAAGCAATGTACTTCCTTAAGTTCTCAATAACGAATGGTCTGACTGGGTCTTCAAACATAGATGCTATGAAAAAGTTGATAAACCCGGAATTTGAGTACCATTCTGAATAAACTAAAGGAATTGCGAGAGATTGGGAAATAAAATCAAATAGAGCACATCTTGTGGCTTCTATTATCTCTCTTTCTGTATCTCCTTTAACTTGTGCGTGTAATTTTGAGAAAACAACTGAAGCATTCGTAATTGAACGAATTAACAGCTTATTTTTCAAAATTTCTGGTGGTATCATATTGAAAATGGACATAATTCTAAAGAATATCTCTGAAAAGATGATCGGCTGCTCAATTGCGATATCAAATAATTTTACGAGTCCTGTGAAGGCTCTATGAGCAATTACAGTGATCAGTTCACCTCTCAGTTGTGATATTCCCATGAAATCATCCTTTCCGTCGAACGCGGAGTACTTTGGATTAAATAATGGAGATAACATGATTCCTTTAATGAATTTATCAGTATGTTCCTGGTCCACATTGATTATTGATGCAAGATAAATCGATGCAGCGAGGAATTCAAGCGTTGGAGGGCTGTTTTTGTCTTGCATTATTGAAATGAAGCAATTCATAGAGGATTCTTGGGCTCCTGGTATGGAAATGATGGCAATTGCAATGTCATCAATGATGTTCTTGAGGTTTTGTGGTAGTAATTTGCCGATTTCTCGTTCGAAATCAAAAGTATAAATTAAACTTGGTTTCATTTGGGATTTGAAGGTAGGTTTCGTTACGAAATGGAATGAGAGTGATGAATTGGGGTTGACTGTTGGAAAAGAAAGAGTTGTTGTCTCAGTAGGAAATTTTGCTAATGAATTGTAGTTATTTCGTATTAAATCAACAAGAGAAGTAGGGAATAACGCTAATAAAGGTAGTACTGACTCTTTTTTAGCTCGTGATGATAAAACTGAAAAGGTATTTAAAGCAATTGGTTCTAAAGTCGAAACATGATAGAAAATTCGCTCTATGATATTACTGGCGGTTTCTACATTTATTAAATCTGGGTTTTCTTGTATTACTTGTGAAATAAATTCAAGAAAAACAGCGGCATCTTTCGGAATCGGCGAATCTTGCTGTGGTAAGAAAACCTTTAATATGGGAGCAAAAAGAGATTGTATCTGTGCAAATTCTTTCTTATGATTCGTATATAATTCACACATTGAAGGAAAAATAAAACTAAAATCGAAAGGAGCTGTACTACCAAGATATAATTGCATTGAATGAATGTACGCTTGAATGACAAGCTTTGAGTTAGATGTTTCGGAGCAATATGCTAAAGCATCTAAAATATAAGGTAATTGCTCAAAATTATTAGTATATTCAACATACAAACGCCATGTAATATATGAGCATAAAGTGAAATAAGTGCAGTACTCAATTAAATTGCTTTCATAATCTGGTGAATTTGTCATTAATTGAAGAAGTAATGGCATTAATGGAAAATACCAATTATATCCTGAAAAGATTTCTCTAAATGTCGTTGCTCGTTGAGGATTTTGACTGAATTGTGATAGTGATTGAAAACTAAAATTTGGGAAATTAATTGCTGACAACATTAGCGTGAATTCATCAAAAGGTTCGGGTCTTTCTTCCGGAAAATGAAGTGTGAGGATGTTTATAAGTGTTGTAATATGTTCTTTTGTTTCCTCACTCATAATTAATTTTTTTTCGGAAAAAAAAACGATAAAAAAAATTGTCGAAACTCTGAAATTTGCTAATAATTTTAATAACAAATAACGATTTAGTTATGTAGTGTTAATCGAACATTTATAAAATTATTCACTAAAAATCAATTTTTATAAAAATTGAATCAAAAATCTTTTTTTTTGGTTTAAAAATGTCATCATAACAATGAATTACAGCTCTTTTTCATTTTAATTTCATTAAAATCCCTCATATTTTAAGATTGTCTTTATGTCCTCATTAATCAAGAAACTCTTTTCATGGGGGCAAAGTAAGGACGATCCAAATATCTTAAATACAAGCATTTCAGGACCTCCATTGTTTTCTGGATATTTTATTCCTGAATCTAAAATTTTACAACAAAATTCTCAAAATAATATGCGAGTTTATGTGGATGAATGTATTCAGGTTGGCGAACCATACTTCAGGAGAGTAAATCAGTCCCAAGAATGGTCACCACAAAATAATAATCAAGAAAAAGGAACAGAAGCAAACAATTTAGCAAATTCATCAACATCAACATCATCAGTAGGATATAGATTATACGAAACATATCAAAGAATTACAAAAGAGGAACAAGAAAAATCTCAAAATTCTCAATCTTCAAAGAAAGACGGTCATTCAGGCGTTTCTGGTTCGAATGATTCATCTTCTAAGCCTTCTGGTGGCTTGCAGATCAAACCAAAGGGTATTTCTTTGGCTGGACCTAAATTAGGTGCCAAATCTGACGATGGAAAGCCAAAGCTTGGTCTATCGCTTAGCCTTGGTAAGAAGGATGACAACAAATCCGAAGAAAAGAAGGACGAAGCTACATCTGATGAAAAGAAGGAAACAGATACAGAAAAGAAGGAAGAGCCTGCAAAGAAAGGACTTTCTCTTAGCCTTGGTGGAAAACCAGGCCTTTCTTTGAAGTCAAAACCTGATGAAAAGAAAGATGGCGAAGAAGCTCCTGCTAAGCCATCATTGAAGCTTACAATACCAAAGATTGGTGAAAAGAAGGAAGAATCTTCTGAAAAGAAAGAAGAAAATGCAGAAAAGAAAGACGAAACATCAGATAAGAAGGAAAATAAACCTGAAACAAAGCCAAAATTAGGACTTAACTTATCATTACCAAAATTAGGCCAGAAGAAGGACGAAACAACAGCAAACAAAGACGAATCATCAGATAAGAAGGAAAATAAACCTGAAACAAAGCCAAAATTAGGACTTAACTTATCATTACCAAAATTAGGCCAGAAGAAGGACGAAACAACAGAAAAGAAAGACGAAACATCAGATAAGAAGGAAAATAAACCTGAAACAAAGCCAAAATTAGGACTTAACTTATCATTACCAAAATTAGGCCAGAAGAAGGACGAAACAACTGATAAAAAGGAAGAATCTGCAGATAATAAAAATGATAAACCTGAAACAAAGCCAAAACTTGGACTTAATTTGTCAATACCAAAATTAGGACAGAAGAAGGAAGAAAACAATGACAAGAAAGAAGAATCAACTGAAAAGAAGGATGAAAAGTCCGAAACGAAACCAAAATTAGGATTTAACTTATCAATGCCAAAATTAGGCCAAAAGAAGGACGAAACTGCTGAAAAGAAGGATGAATCATCAGATAAGAAAGAAGAGAAGCAAGAAGAGAAGCCAAAACCAGGATTTAACTTGTCATTACCAAAATTAGGTCAGAAGAAAGAAGAAACAACAGAAAACAAAGACGAAAAGCCAAAACCTGGTCTTAACTTGAAATTCGGACTTAACAAAGGCGAAAATTCTTCAGAAAAACCGAAATTAGTACTTAATTTATCAATTCCTAAAGTTGGTCAGAAGAAAGAAGAAGAAAAACCAAATAATTTGCAAGTGAGTACTCCTAAACCAGAACAAAACAAAGAAGAGCCGAAAGAAGAAGAAAAACCGAAATTAGGTGGTCTTAAACTTTCAACACCTAAGAAAGAAGAAACAACAGCTGGAGAACCACCAAAACCATCATCAGGGCTTAATTTGTCATTGCCAAAATCAAATGGTGATTCCAAATCATTAAATCTTCCAAAATGGGACTTAAAAGGTAAAGGATTAGCGAATGCACTGAATAAAGTCCAATCTCCAACTGTTACTTTGAATAAAGATGAAGGAGAAAAGCCAAAACAGGGTTTATCATTAAATCTTGGTTTACAGAAATCAGGAGCAACAACACAACTATCAAAGATTGCTGACCAACCAGAAGAAGAGAAGAAAGAAGCAACACAACCTGTCCAAAACAAGCCAGCATCAGGAATTTCTCTTGGTCTGAAAACAGGTGGATTAAAACTCCCTCAACCACCTAAATTAGCTCCAGCAACAAATGCAGCAAAAACAGAAGAAGCACCAAAGACTGATCAAAAAGCTGCAGAAACTAAAACAGAAGGTGATGAATGGGATCAATTAAATAAAGCAACAGCAAAAACTGCTGAAACTAAATCACAACCATCGATTGCACTTCCTGCTAAAACAGGATCAGGATGGGGACAAGTTTCAAATGGATCTCAATGGTCTTCTGGCGTAAATGCAAGTAAATGGGATGATAAACCTTCTGCGGCAACAACCAGCTGGGTGTCTAATCAGAAAAGCAGTGGAAATGCCGGATGGCGCAGTACTAATACTTCTAGTTCTACTCAACAAAGTTGGGGAACGGTTCAACGTGCTACTAACTGGAAAGCAAGCAATGTACGAAATCATGCTGATAGAAAAATTTCGAAAGGTTGGGATAATATGGACAAAACAAACCGCAACTACTTTAGCAAAATTTAAAAATAGAGTAGAGAAAAATAATAGAAAATTATATTTAAATAAAATTACTGTTGATTTAATTACTAAATTTTTTTTATGATGCTTGCATAATATCAGTCTATCTTTATTTTGGTAGCAAAAAAAGTATAACAACTATATTAGGTACTATTCAATGACTTATAGTAACTTATTCCCAACTAAAAATATTAACTTTTTATAATAGAAAATTGGATTATAAAGTCATGGTATCAAAAAAATTGAGAGAATGTCAGAAAGAGTAATTGCACCCTTATGATTTCAATGAATTCAAATTGAATTTCCAAAGACCCTTGATAAAAGAATATATAACATACAAATTTTTTATCAATTCTTTATCCTACTTGTGGATGGAGTATCTTCAATGGTAATCACATGAAATAGAGAAACAAAACTATTTCTATATTAATAAACAATGGACACTATATGCGACAATCTCTCATAGTTTTTGAGAACCTAGGATTTTTGCCAAAAATGGATATATTGTATATGAAATTTCTTATTCAAAATTTAATTTTGTTATCTATGTATTTTTCTTGTGCATTTGGACAATAAAATGATAACTATAGATATATGAAGGAGAAACGAGATGTTAATATAGAAACTATTTTAATATTTTTATTGACCAATCTCAAATACATAGTTTTGATAGCAAACTCATGCAAGCGTTTGTTTTTTAGTAGAAATGTGATAATATCCTTAAACTAGTTAAGGTCCAATTATATTATTTATGTTGTTTGCTGGCGAAAATTTTTCATTTATTTTTATTTCCGCAGAATATTCAATTTTTGAAAAATTTATGATGTTATTACGTCAATAAAATAAAATCGGCTCAACTTCACTTTTGAACTCCCATAATAAATTAGATAATCAATAGGAAACATTTAGATATATAAATAATACTTTTAATTTGAAAATTAGATATTTTTTCTTTTGAAATCTACCAATTATATCCACCTTTTTGTGGATGTCGCTAATTCGCGAATCAGATCATTGGCAGCTGAAATAGTTTTATGTGATGAGCAGCTGAAAGTTCTTGGTTCTGCTCCAGGAACTTCAGAAAATGATTTAAAATTATTAATGCTGCGTAGAAATATTAAAGCAACATTACATCATCTAATTACAGAGTATTGTATATCAATGAATAGTTATAATCAAGATGCTGCCCCTTTGAAAATGGCAATAAGCTGCCACATTTGTACAATCAATCTACCACAATTTCAGATTAAATTACACGAATTGTTTGGTCAGCAATCTGCTTTAACAACGCTTGCTGGCAAGGATTATACAAAATACACGAGAGATGAAGATGTTCCGGCCGATATCCACTTAAAAATGATTACGTTGATTTTCCCCTACGAATTTCTCTCCGAATTACTCAAATCAATAGATTTCCTTCAAATATTTACAAAAATTATTTTAAATTATAAACCACAGAAGCATGTCAATGCTATCAAGAGTGTCTTTAATGCTATTAAGAAGTTTGGCGCTAACAATGATATATCAAACATTAATCAATTTTTTACCGCGAATGAAATTATGTTTTTTGCCTTAGCAGAGCACTTAGTTACGATCTTTACCCACAAGCAAATGATTAATTCCAACTGGGATCCGCTCAGAAACTTTTCTACCGTTGAAAAAAGTCGATTAATTGCAGAAGAAGAGTTTAAAGCTCTAAATCTCAACCAAAAACTTCTCGATCATTTACAAAGTCATCATGATATCATTGAAAAACTCAAAAATCCTCTTCCAAGCAAATCACTCAACGAATTAAGAGAAATTTGTGAGACAAAACCCGAATTAGAGTTTGATGAGAACGAGAAGATTGAAATCCCAGCTCTTCACCATGTAGTTCTTGAGCTCCGAAAGATGCCTCTCCAATGTTCTCCATCTGGATTATTATTTACTTTATCCAACGCTTTGACGATGCTTACGAACGCTGTTTCTATCGGAGGAGAGATGGTAGGTGCCGATGAGATCTTCCAGTTCTTCGTTTATTCCCTTTCCGCCGCAAAAGTTTGGTGTCTTCCTGCCATGGCACTTTTTGTCGAAAAATTTGTCGATGATGCCCTTTTAGAGACAAAATTCCAGTATTTAATAACACAGCTGAACTGTGCCGTTGAGTTCATTGAAGGTAGAAAGCTGTCGATCAAGCCATTCATCATTTTGCCACATACAAAAATGACTCCTGAAATAGAAGCGAAACTTTCACCTGTTGACGACGAAATCATTGTTATGAAGAGGTTTGCTGTGTATGCATATCCAACATTCACTGAGGAATGTCAGACTGTTTTCCCAGGAATGATAAAATACACAGGAAAACTCGAAGACCAAGCTTTCGTCAGAAAATTTTCGTTGAAAGGAAGTCCTTCTTTTCTTGATGATTTTGAAAGCGTCGCCAGCTTGAATGGAGCCATTTTCCCACTGAATCAGGACTACATTGTTAAACACAAGATGATTAGAGTTGATTCAGGAAACATGGTTGATTCTGCTGACGACATCAACAGATTTTCAACTTTGATGCTGATGTTTTCTGGAGAAATAAACAATCCATCGACTGGAAAGATAAACAAGGCTTTCTCCATTGTGAATGGCATTTGGAAGATGGCAAGCAATGTAGCGAAACTGGATCTGATCGTTGCTGATCTACAGATGGCATTGGTTTTCATCGGAAAACTGCCTCCAAACTTTCATGTCGACGGAATATTTAACCATGACACTTATAGAGCGCTTGTAGAACTTGTTGGAAAGCGAGGAAAGGTAGAACTATCACCTAAAATGTTCGAAAATGTTAAGAAACTCGCTGAAGAAAATAAATAAAGATCTTTTTTGTATTTTTCTAATATTAAATTTTAGAAACTCTTTTTTTAAATAGATTATGTTTTATAAAACAATTAACATTACTCGTTTCAAAATGTTTTTAAACGCAACAAATTCTCGACATGTTACAGTAACATAGGGCATTTACTTTCATAAAACAATTAAATCCTTCATATTGAACAAAATATCTTAATAAAAAGCAGACAAATGAATTTCTAATTTCATGATGTTCAATGAATAAAAGAAAGTTACTGATATGGCAATAAATCTTCATTAGACAGCAATTAATATATGAAAAGGATTTGCATAGCTTCCAAATTTTTATTGGACGTAATACAATGTAATAGAGAGTAGATGATTGACTATTCTTCGGCAAAGAATGATACAGAATAATTCCTTATGAACATTCTTCATTTTTCATTAGAAATCATGTATGACTGAGAATATTACTGTATGAATGATTCTTTCAAGAGCTAATAAGCCCATATTCATCCCAATGTGCTTGTATAATATCCTCATGTTTAAAAATTGTATTGATATTTATCCAAATAAAAAATTTTTGATATTTTTTAAAAAAAGCAAAAAAATTCAGTGACTATATAAAATAAATATAAAATATATAAAGCTTAGTCGTCGTTCATTACAGGAGCGCGCATTGGGCATTCTGCCTCTATTCTGTGCTCTATAACATCTATAACATCTCTCTCAGCTCTCTTCACGTCATCAGAAGACAAGTTCCAGATCTTTTCAGCGCCATCGAACACGTCGTAAGCGTTTGTTGTGTCTCTGATTCCGCGTGCACCCTGTAATTTGTCCTTAACGATCTTTGCTAGTAATGTAGCCTTAATTGTGTCGACTTCGCCTTGAATCTGGTCGAGTTGCTGTTGTTGCTTGTTGCACTGTTGGTCGATCTCGTTAAGCTTCTTCTCGTGAGCTTCTTTGACACGAACTGGATCTGTCATGTTCTTAATCCACTCATTTTTAACGTTTTCGATGGTTTCTTCAATGTTGTTCATGAAACGAGCACGATTCTCGTTAAGTTGGTCGTTGACGGCCTCTGTATAACGTCTGATATCATTTTCGGCATCATGGCGTATTTTATTTACGCGTTCATCACCTTGGCCATTAACAGAGAGTGGGCCTGTTTCAAGTTTCTGAGCTTGTTCTGCAAGAATGTCTGAAAGATCTTCGATAATCGCATGCTGCTTTTCGAGAACGGTCATGATTTCATCCATTTGCTCATCATGCTCGTCTGCAAGCTGCTTGATAAGATTGGCTTTTGTAACTTCGATATTCTTAAGGAAATCATTCAATAAATCGATATGGTAGTTTGTTGTGGCCTCAAGTTCTGTGCGAGCATGCCAACGAACACTAGAAAGAGCCATAGCAACGAAAAAGTTGATTGATTGTTCATGGATCATTGGGCAATGGAAGATATAATTTTCTTGGTCCTCTGGAAGTAAATCGAAGTTAATTCTGAGGATGAGAAGAATTGCTGTTTCTGGTTCTGTCTTGATAATACGCATAACAAATTTAATGTACTTTTCCATATCAAATCCTTTCTTCTCGGCCATAAGTACAATCCTGAATAGGATTTCTGGCTCTACATCTGGAAGACGGTCATCATCCATCACTTCATCAAAAACGTTAGCAACTGCCTGAAGATCAGATCTTTTAGCAGTTCCTTCATCAATGTTTTTGAGAAGGTTTCCGAGAACATCGTTCTTTGGTCTGTAAACTATTCCGTTTTCTTTGCACAAATCTTGGCAGTATCTCTCAAGATTAGGGCAATCCCATTTTCTAGCAACATCCAAAAGCTCAAGCGCATAAAGAGGCTGGAGTTGGAAGTTGCGGAGTTGGCATGATGATAAAAATGCTTTAAATGTTTCATCTGAAACAACTTCGTTAAATTCCATATGATCTCTCTGAATTAAACAATCACGCGCGAATTTTCCTGAGTGCTGGGCAAAAATAACAGGGTCGACCTTGTACATGTTGTCCTTGTAGCCAATGTAGTAAGGCCCCTTCGGAATATTAGAATTGCTCATATCTTTTTTTGTTAATGTTTTTTTTTCTTTTTTTTTGAGTTTTTAACGTCTCAGTTGAGGACGATTATTTGAAACGGTTAACTTTACAATTCTTTACATTGGATTTCACAGTTTAATTATCTTATGTATTTGAATACTCATCCTAATTCATCTAATAATCAGTCAATATTTTTCGAAAATAACAACTAATTTTGGCCAATTTAGAAAAGATAAGAATATGGACTTTCCTATTATATAAGCGCTCAAATCTAATTCGTTCTACTATCAATCGACTTGATTTTGGATGACATTGAAAATGAATTTACGAAACTCAGAAATTGAATGTTGAGAATTAATAGGAGTAATGTATTTGCAAAATAAATATAAACTCAAAATAGCAAACCTACACAAGCAGTTTTTTTTTTAATATATATTGCGAGATGAGTGAATGTGTTGACCATTATATAAAAATGTCAATGTAAACACTACTTGCATTAAGAAATCAAATTTGATACTCAAATAACGAGAAAAATATTGGTCAACTGATGCTAAACTTGTATTGAAGCCCATTGTTCTTAAATATATCTTCCTCATTAGCAACATGATCTTATATCACCGCATTATAAGTTTAAGAAATATGATTTTGTTAATAAGATCGGCAAAATACCAATTTCAGCGATTCCATGCACACTGGCTTAATGGTATGGATTAAGAATATTACTATTAGCAAAATTGAAAATTGGCCATTAAAATTTGCACCTACTGAGATTACAAATTTTTTTGTCAAATTGTCAGATTTGTAAAGTTAAAATATGTCAGAATTGAGGACTCGTTTGGTCAAAATTTTTTCTTTTTCACCATGATTGCACAGGCACTTGAAGTTATAGTCTTTTTATTTACATGTTTGGTGTCGTTATTAGCTGAACAAAGTACTTGTTCAATGTATATACTAGTTCATGGCGTACAAAAATATCAAAGTACACCAACAAGAAAAGTCGACAACATTGAAATCATTGACAATTACAGTGTTATTCTTCCAAATGGTGGCTACTTAAAAGTCAGAATGGGTCCTAAATCATGGCCATTTTACCAAGGTAACTCAATAGATTTAGACTGTCTTGGTCTACAACACTCAATTTACCATCATTTTCACCGCGCAGATGTTTGTCTATACGGTGTTTACTTCTACGACTATTTTATTGAATTGGCCAATAAACACTATCCATACCGTTATCCAAATGCCACAAATCATTCATTACAAGTGTACCAGAAAATCGTTTTAGGGTTTTCACATCATCCTCAGTATGGTCACTTCATGCATGATATGCTTTGTCCGATTATGTCAATGCCTGCTGAAATTTTGGAAGGTGCAGACATCTTTGTCCACTTTAAAGAGAACGAAGCCAGAAACATATTTTCATTCTTAGGTTTTGATCCGAAACGTATACATTCACTTACTGGTCAGTGGGTTCATGGAATTGATGTTCATGCAACAGTTAGTCAATTTGGAATCAACGCGATGTTCCAAGCTTGGATTGATTTGCACCATTACATATATCAAAAATACAATTTGTACAATATTGCTCCAACACAAATGACAGCAATCAATAAACCAAAAGGAAATTGGGGATGTGTTGGAAACTTTGACGCCCTCTTCGAACGAGCCAAGAAATTATATCCAGAATATAACTGGAAACTATATCCAGCGAGTACATTGTTTGACATTGAACGTACAGCAAAGATTTTAGCAGCATCTAAGTTATATGTTTCAGCAGCAGGTTCTGCGTGTTTCAACTGTATTTATATGCATGAAAACACACAGATTTTGTTCTTCACTCGACAGCTTCCAGATAATCCAGCGTTAGCAGGTGTTGCAACACTTGGCATTTTTGCATATGCAATCAGCACTGAAAACTTATCTAATGTTTCTCTTTCTGATTTCGATCCTGGGCTTCACGAGATCATGTATGTTGTTAAATATGGTCATTGGAATAATGGTATCGAAAACAGAACAGGTCAATTCCTTGATTCGTCATTTTATAAGAAAGGATTTGAAATATACGCAGAAACAGGAAAAACAAATATTCTTGTACCTTCTAAATCATTCAGGAAGCACACACATCGTAAGATTCAACCAGGTCGCACTTTCATGGAGTTCTTTTAGTTTCAAGAATATAACTACCAGTTAAATGTTATATTAGGTGTACAACTTCTTAATTAAAATATATACTTTTGTTTTGTATCTTCTAAAAATAGAATTTAATATTGTTAAAATCATGCTAAGTAAAAAATTTTTAGATATTTTAAGTCGCATGCAAGAGATCTGAAATCATATTCTTTATCTGAAATCATATTCTTTATCTCAGATGTTAATGTGTATCTGAGATCATATTCTTTATCTCAGATGATAATCTGTATCTGAGATGATCTTTTTTATCTGAGATGATGTTCTTTAACTGAAATCATATTCTTTATCTCAGATGATAATGTGTATCTGAGATGATAATATGTATCTGAGATCATATTCTTTATCTGAGATCATATTCTTTATCTCAGATGATAATGTGTATCTGAGATCATATTCTTTATCTGAAATCATATTCTTTATCTCAGATGTTAATGTGTATCTGAGATCATATTCTTTATCTCAGATGATAATCTGTATCTGAGATTAGAATGTAAATATCAAATGAAAAAAAAACCAATTTTAACAATAATAATATCCCTGTATAATGATACTTTGCTTCTTATCAGTGCATATGTATATCATTACGAAACTAACTGTTAAAAAAAACATATTTTTTCGATTGTCAGATTTTTTGAAAAAGTGACATTAATAAGTTGAGAAGACAAATTGATTATTATAATTTGAGGAAATGAAAGAAGGTATTGATATCAGAATACTATATTGACGAGATGAGAATGTGTTTCTGAGATCATATTCTTTATCTGAGATGATAATGTGTATCTCAGATGAAAATCTGTATATGAGATCATATTCTTTATCTCAGATGATAATGTCTATCTCAGATGATAATGTGTATCTGAGATCATATTCTTTATTTGAGATGATAATGTGTATCTGAGATCATATTCTTTATCTGAGATGATAATCTGTATCTGAGATCATATTCTTTATCTCAGATGATAATGTGTATCTGAGATCATATTCTTTATGTCAGATGATAATCTGTATCTGAGATCATATTCTTTATCTGAGATCATATTCTTTATCTCAGATGATAATGTGTATATGAGATCATATTCTTTATCTCAGATGATAATGTGTATCTGAGATCATATTCTTTATCTGAAATCATATTCTTTATCTCAGATGATAATCTGTATCTGAGATTAGAATGTAAATATCAAATGAAAAAAAACCAATTTTAACAATAATAATATCCCTGTATAATGATACTTTGCTTCTTATCAGTGCATATGTATATCATTACGAAACTAACTGTTAAAAAAAACATATTTTTTCGATTGTCAGATTTTTTGAAAAAGTGACATTAATAAGTTGAGAAGACAAATTGATTATTATAATTTGAGGAAATGAAAGAAGGTATTGATATCAGAATACTATATTGACGAGATGATAACTTTGATCTGAGATCATATTCTTTATCTGAGATGATAATGTGTATCTCAGATGAAAATCTGTATATGAGATCATATTCTTTATCTCAGATGATAATGTCTATCTCAGATGATAATGTGTATCTGAGATCATATTCTTTATTTGAGATGATAATGTGTATCTGAGATGATCTCTTTTATCTGAGATGATATTCTTTATTGGAGATGATAATGTGTATCTCAGATGATAATCTGTATCTGAGATTAGAATGTAAATATCAAATGAAAAAAAACCAATTTTAACAATAATAATATCCCTGTATAATGATACTTTGCTTCTTATCAGTGCATATGTATATCATTACGAAACTAACTGTTAAAAAAAACATATTTTTTCGATTGTCAGATTTTTTGAAAAAGTGACATTAATAAGTTGAGAAGACAAATTGATTATTATTATTTGAGGAAATGAAAGAAGGTATTGATATCAGAATACTATATTGATGAGATGATAACTTTGATTTGAGATCATATTCTTTATCTGAGATGATAATGTGTATCTGAGATCATATTCTTTATCTGAGATCATATTCTTTATCTCAGATGATAATCTGTATCTGAGATGATCTTTTTTATCTGAGATGATGTTCTTTAACTGAAATCATATTCTTTATCTCAGATGATAATGTGTATCTGAGATGATAATATGTATCTGAGATCATATTCTTTATCTGAGATCATATTCTTTATCTGAGATCATATTCTTTATCTGAGATCATATTCTTTATCTGAGATCATATTCTTTATCTGAGATCATATTCTTTATCTGAGATGAAAATCTGTATCTGAGATCATATTCTTTATCTGAAATCATATTCTTTATCTGAAATCATATTCTTTATCTGAAATCATATTCTTTATCTCAGATGTTAATGTGTATCTGAGATCATATTCTTTATCTCAGATGATAATCTGTATCTGAGATTAGAATGTAAATATCAAATGAAAAAAAAACCAATTTTAACAATAATAATATCCCTGTATAATGATACTTTGCTTCTTATCAGTGCATATGTATATCATTACGAAACTAACTGTTAAAAAAAACATATTTTTTCGATTGTCAGATTTTTTGAAAAAGTGACATTAATAAGTTGAGAAGACAAATTGATTATTATTATTTGAGGAAATGAAAGAAGGTATTGATATCAGAATACTATATTGATGAGATGATAACTTTGATTTGAGATCATATTCTTTATCTGAGATGATAATGTGTATCTGAGATCATATTCTTTATCTGAGATCATATTCTTTATCTCAGATGATAATCTGTATCTGAGATGATCTTTTTTATCTGAGATGATGTTCTTTAACTGAAATCATATTCTTTATCTCAGATGATAATGTGTATCTGAGATGATAATATGTATCTGAGATCATATTCTTTATCTGAGATCATATTCTTTATCTGAGATCATATTCTTTATCTGAGATCATATTCTTTATCTGAGATCATATTCTTTATCTGAGATCATATTCTTTATCTGAGATGAAAATCTGTATCTGAGATCATATTCTTTATCTGAAATCATATTCTTTATCTGAAATCATATTCTTTATCTGAAATCATATTCTTTATCTCAGATGTTAATGTGTATCTGAGATCATATTCTTTATCTCAGATGATAATCTGTATCTGAGATTAGAATGTAAATATCAAATGAAAAAAAAACCAATTTTAACAATAATAATATCCCTGTATAATGATACTTTGCTTCTTATCAGTGCATATGTATATCATTACGAAACTAACTGTTAAAAAAAACATATTTTTTCGATTGTCAGATTTTTTGAAAAAGTGACATTAATAAGTTGAGAAGACAAATTGATTATTATAATTTGAGGAAATGAAAGAAGGTATTGATATCAGAATACTATATTGACGAGATGATAACTTTGATCCGAGATCATATTCTTTATCTGAGATGATAATGTGTATCTGAGATCATATTCTTTATTTGAGATGATAATGTGTATCTGAGATGATCTCTTTTATCTGAGATGATATTCTTTATTGGAGATGATAATGTGTATCTCAGATGATAATCTGTATCTGAGATTAGAATGTAAATATCAAATGAAAAAAAACCAATTTTAACAATAATAATATCCCTGTATAATGATACTTTGCTTCTTATCAGTGCATATGTATATCATTACGAAACTAACTGTTAAAAAAAACATATTTTTTCGATTGTCAGATTTTTTTGAAAAAGTGACATTAATAAGTTGAGAAGACAAATTGATTATTATTATTTGAGGAAATGAAAGAAGGTATTGATATCAGAATACTATATTGATGAGATGATAACTTTGATTTGAGATCATATTCTTTATCTGAGATGATAATGTGTATCTGAGATCATATTCTTTATCTGAGATCATATTCTTTATCTCAGATGATAATCTGTATCTGAGATGATCTTTTTTATCTGAGATGATGTTCTTTAACTGAAATCATATTCTTTATCTCAGATGATAATGTGTATCTGAGATGATAATATGTATCTGAGATCATATTCTTTATCTGAGATCATATTCTTTATCTGAGATCATATTCTTTATCTGAGATCATATTCTTTATCTGAGATCATATTCTTTATCTGAGATCATATTCTTTATCTGAGATGAAAATCTGTATCTGAGATCATATTCTTTATCTGAAATCATATTCTTTATCTGAAATCATATTCTTTATCTGAAATCATATTCTTTATCTCAGATGTTAATGTGTATCTGAGATCATATTCTTTATCTCAGATGATAATCTGTATCTGAGATTAGAATGTAAATATCAAATGAAAAAAAAACCAATTTTAACAATAATAATATCCCTGTATAATGATACTTTGCTTCTTATCAGTGCATATGTATATCATTACGAAACTAACTGTTAAAAAAAACATATTTTTTCGATTGTCAGATTTTTTGAAAAAGTGACATTAATAAGTTGAGAAGACAAATTGATTATTATAATTTGAGGAAATGAAAGAAGGTATTGATATCAGAATACTATATTGACGAGATGATAACTTTGATCCGAGATCATATTCTTTATCTGAGATGATAATGTGTATCTGAGATCATATTCTTTATTTGAGATGATAATGTGTATCTGAGATGATCTCTTTTATCTGAGATGATGTTCTTGAACTGAGATCATATTCTTTATCTCAGATGATAATGTGTATCTGAGATGATCTCTTTTATCTGAGATGATGTTCTTGAACTGAGATCATATTCTTTATCTCAGATGATAATGTGTATCTGAGATCATATTCTTTATCTCAGATGATAATCTGTATCTGAGATTAGAATGTAAATATCAAATGAAAAAAACCAATTTTAACAATAATAATATCCCTGTATAATGATACTTTGCTTCTTATCAGTGCATATGTATATCATTACGAAACTAACTGTTAAAAAAAACATATTTTTTCGATTGTCAGATTTTTTGAAAAAGTGACATTAATAAGTTGAGAAGACAAATTGATTATTATTATTTGAGGAAATGAAAGAAGGTATTGATATCCTAATAACATATTGATGAGATGATAACTTTGATCCGAGATCATATTCTTTATCTGAGATGATAATGTGTATCTGAGATCATATTCTTTATTTGAGATGATAATGTGTATCTGAGATGATCTCTTTTATCTGAGATGATGTTCTTGAACTGAGATCATATTCTTTATCTCAGATGATAATGTGTATCTGAGATGATCTCTTTTATCTGAGATGATGTTCTTGAACTGAGATCATATTCTTTATCTCAGATGATAATGTGTATCTGAGATGATCTCTTTTATCTGAGATGATGTTCTTGAACTGAGATCATATTCTTTATCTCAGATGTTAATGTGTATCTGAGATCATATTCTTTATCTCAGATGATAATCTGTATCTGAGATTAGAATGTAAATATCAAATGAAAAAAAAACCAATTTTAACAATAATAATATCCCTGTATAATGATACTTTGCTTCTTATCAGTGCATATGTATATCATTACGAAACTAACTGTTAAAAAAAACATATTTTTTCGATTGTCAGATTTTTTGAAAAAGTGACATTAATAAGTTGAGAAGATCGCAAACATTACATTTAATTTTATCTGATACATTAATTTAATCATCTTCAATCAGAAATTATTTGTTATATGTATTTAAGTTTCTGACATATGATTTTTTGTCCCAAATTCAAGTTCATATCATATAAAATAATTCACTTAAAATAAAGCCGAAAATTTGAATTCATTTGGTTTTCAAGTTTGATTAGAATCTTTGTCTTGTTTTGTAACTATGTGCTATCTGTGTCTCGAAGAAGTTATGAGTTTGTGTAGTACATTTTGGACCAAGTTTGAAAAATTCGGTGATTAACAAGAATTTCAAGTTTGATTAGAATCTTTGTCTTGTTTTGTAACTATGTGCTATCTGTGTCTCGAAGAAGTTATGAGTTTGTGTAGTACATTTTGGACCAAGTTTGAAAAATTCGGTGATTAACAAGAATTTCAAGTTTGATTAGAATCTTTGTCTTGTTTTGTAACTATGTGCTATCTGTGTCTCGAAGAAGTTATGAGTTTGTGAAACTGATAATTTGACGAAGCTTAATAATCAACAATTCAGATTAGCTCCATAATAACTATAATCCTGACTTGAAAATTCATAATTCCTTTCATTCCAAATGATTAAATCTTAGATAACATCAACATTTCAAGCTAAACCATTCATCAAAAGATTCCAAAAAAATTAATTTCGTTTTAAATGTCTAAAAAAATATATCCTTTAGATATCTAAATCATTAAAATAAAGTTAAAAAAATGAAATTTATTTATTCAGATTCGAGTTTTATTGAGTTTCTATGAGCTTTTAGCTAGTTTTAAATCAAGCAATATTCATTTTTATTATCATAAAGTCATAACCAGTATGTTATTTTATAAATATTTATAGAAAATATTCATGAATTAAATTTATATGTATATATTTATTCATTTAATAAGAATATGATTTTGAACTACCGTATATCAAATTTGTAATCAATTAAAGGTGTATTTCATTCTATATTAAAAAATAAAATTTTTATTCTGAGTAAATTACGCTGTGGTTCTAGCGATATGATCGTATTCCATAGTATAAGTGTTTCGTAGTTTATTCTTGAACGATGTTTATTTTTTAATGCATGAATTTGCAACTTCAATAATATTTTGAAAGTAGTTCCATAAAAACATCATGATATGATTCCTAGTACCAATTTTTTACATGCCATTTTAATGATGGCCCAAAAGAGAAAGTTTTCGGATTAACCTAAAACGATCTTTCCATAGACGCACTTAAAAGTGACATCGTTTTTTTTTCCAAGTTTCTTTCTTTTTATTTTGTACCAATTACATCACGCATTCATCCTTTTAGCATCATTTTTTATATTCAATCTTCTGATCATTACGTACTCCGTTACAAGATCCAAGTATCAATACATATTATACTCAGTAAATGCAACGAAAGTAAAAGATTTTTGCCCATTTGCTATTTTCAAATCATTATTCAAGTTAAGCGAGACTTTTCCAGTTGAAAGAAAGGATACTGCGCTATTCTACGGAGAAAAAATGAACCTTTTTATTCATAATATCATTGAAGGCAGAGAATCTTTCATTGAACAAGCCCATCATTTTCATGGTAACTGGGTTCATGCAAAGAAAATGTACGCTTCATACGAGTATGCCATTTCGGATGGAGTTACAGTATATGAAGCAGGAGATATGAACAACTTTAGAAATATCTTTAAATATCATCCTGGCAGAGTTGTTGGCGCATATGATAACGTTATTGTCCTTGGTCATGTAGGAGTAGGCCTTTTTGGACATTTTATGAATGAAGTTTTGACACAGCTAGTACTTTTCCCGGAAGAAATACAAAGGAAGTCATACATCATAGTAAAAGGAAATCGTTCCATGTGGGAGGGAATCATGACTGTTCTTGGATTCGAAGGAAGAACAATTGTTCTTCAACCAAAGCAATGGATTTATTGCGAGAATCTCTATACAGTTGTTGAACCAAGACCTCATGGAGGGTATTACGGACCAGCAATAGATAATCTTCATACTGTACTTAGAAAAGCTTTTAACATTTCTCATATTATTCCGACCAAAATCGAATTTTTGAATAGGAAAGGACCTCTAAGAGTCGTAGAAAACTACGGAGAATTGATTGAAGCCACAAAAAAAGAAATATCCTGATTATAATTTCTTTCTTATTCCAGACACTTTAGTTGCACATGAAGCGGCTAAGACATTTTCGACTTGTAGAATTATGATGACAACTACGGGCTCTTCTTGCAATAATATTATGTATATGGCTGATAAAACATGTATTATTAAATTGGTAGGGCCAATAGTTGACGTAAGTAATATTGTTGTGCCGATATCAATTGAAATATATCAAATCAACATATACTATCCGGGTTTGCTTCATTATAAGCCAACTATAACTCATGTTAACATTAATGAGGCATTGAAAGCTATTGATTTGGCATTTTATGTCACAGAACATCATAAGTGGCCTCAAATCGCCGAATTCAATTACTTTATCTAATACCCAGATTTGCCTTACTTTTACCACCTCTCTAAAGCTGGGGACACCGCCTATCGTTGGGAGTAGCTATTAAATAGAACCACCAAGGGTATTTTTCGAACTGCTGGTGTAGTGTAGTGGAAACATCCGACATAATGATTTATTATGCCAAGGTTTGATTCTCATTTAGCTAATTTTTTTCTTTTTTGGATCATGAATTTTTTTTGGGTCACTATAAGATTTGTTTCATGTTCTAAATCTGCTGCATATGTAATCTATTTTTATTTACCTATTTTTTAAAAATCTATTGGATTGCCAAATTTGAATATATTTAAAATCATAAAACTCCAAAAAAACTATAAATATATGTTTTATGCATAGTGCCGATACTCAAATATCAGATTACTTAGATCCATGAATAATATCCGAATTTTTTTTCTTAAAATTAAACTTCAAAACTTCTTGCAATCTTATTCTTAATCAATTGTAAATTTTTAAAACCATTTTTTAAAATAATTTTGCGTAAATTTTATTCTCATGTTGTTTTAATCGAAAATTGATACATTTTCAAAAAAATAATATTGACTTATGAAATTCATTTTTAAGGTGAAATAGTATTGTTTTTATTAAAGTATATGAATAATATATAAAAAATTAATGAATAATATAAGCAGATTTTTAGTTTACAAAACAAATATGAGCAATGCAATTTCAAACTTTTGCTGGCAATTTCGATATTGCTCAAGTTTGTAGTATTTGTGATACCTATAACATCGGCTTAATCAAAATTCGATTTTTCTTATGAGTTATTGAGAAAATTTGATTGCAATGAGAAGGATTTCGACGTTTTTGATAAACTAAGAACTGAGCTTTAGGGGTTCAGTTCATTTATGGCTGTAGTTTGATGCGTAGATCTTTTTTTTATTGTAAATTCTTTCAGCATGGAGATCGAGAATGAATCTTTTGAGAACTTTATGAGTTTTTACACCCGTAAAGAGGTCCTTCGAGGAAAGATAGTCCAGACTACATGAAGATGTGGGTTAACCAAAAAATCCGATGGTTTCCCCATATTCATGTAGATCTTCGAAAAAATGAGCACCAAAAAAGCCAAAAAAATAGGCTTTTTATTGGATTTGTACACTAGATCAATAACCTATTTAGGATCTGACACTCTTTTTAGCCAGAGATATGAGGTCCTTTCTAGGAAAACGATCTATTCATCCATAAAAAAAATGAATTATCGTTTTCCCCAGAAATTACATGGGGAGTGGTAAAAGTAAGGAAAATCTGGGTATATAGATTTATAAAATTTGTTTATTTATTTTTTTTTTGTAAAGTGTCAAAAAAATTATAAATAAAAAAAATTAAGGTCTGTATGTAGAACCTGAGGAGTCATCAAAGTGTGAACATTCTGTATATAATCTCAATACATGTTGATACAGCAAATTATGAATTCTTGTATTATGAATATTCGTGGCACTTTTTCTTTGAAAATTGTTTATTGCGTATAGAAAATTTTCATCTTTACTTTCTGAATGAATCGCTTTCCCTATATAGCTATATTTGTATTATTTATATCCAGTATTGGTCTCGTGCCCAGATTTCAATTCAAAACATATTTTTATCCATTTAAAACAAATATAAATATTGTTCAAATACAAAAGAAAGAAACATTTGGTCAAGTAGAGATCAAAGGCATCAAAGAAGGATTGTGCAATGAATATATTGATCAGTTACTCAAATTTAACTTAACATATAAAAAATATCGCGATAAATTACTTTACGGATTCTGGAATAACACCGAAGACTTTGACTATGCAAAGTTCTTTACTCGTGCAGACTTAGTTCCCAAATTTGGTAAAAAAGAATTTATTGATAAAATAAATCGCTTCGAAGGCAAGATTGCAATATACAAAAATGCTTACGGCACATACTCTGGCGAATTTGCAGTTGATGGCTACATTATTCGTCCACCTTTCGCCTCTGGCCCCGCTTGGATCAGAGTTTACACAAATGGTCCAGTTGTTTATCAATGTGAAAATGCTTGTTTATTCGGGCATAAAGCACTTAATAACATTGGCCATTTTATGAACGATTATTTACAGCCTCTCATCTTATTACCAAAAGAATTTCGCGAAAACTGTGTTTGCATCATCAATTCCTTATCAATGCTTAACGGTGATGAACTACTTAGAGCAATAAACGTCTCTAAATACATATACGTCAAAGAAGGCGAGTGGGTATTTGCAAAAAGATTAGCAGTGGCCGTAGAAGGCCGTCCTCACTACATGCATTACGGAATGTCATTACAGATACTTGTTGACAAGCTTAGGGAGTATTATAAGCTTCCTGAGATCGAACCAACAAGATATATTATCTTTAACAGAGCAAATAAGACAAATAGACATATCCTTAATATAGATGATATTATCGCCAGAATGAAGACTGATATCCCTGTTAAATTCGAATATGTCCCAGATTGGATCGGTCCTTATTACGAATATGCAAAATTTTTCTCATCTGTTAAGTGTATGTTCACAGCTGCAGGAAGTAACTGCCATAAGACTGTTTTTATGAAGAAAGGCACAGTTGCTGCTATTGTAGGAAGCCAGATGTTTGATTACGGAGCGCTTTCAACATTGATGTCTGTAGGAATCAGAGTTGCTGTTGCACATCATCAGTTCTGGCATTTCTACAATAAATGCGTGTGCGATGTTGATCTGGCAATTAAAACTATTCGAGTTGCTGTTTATTACTCTGTAAATAACACTTGGCCAGAGCCTATTCCAAATGTAACTTTTGTTGATTATGATAGAGTTAGATATAAATAAAAAAAAACATAATTTGTTGTTAAATTATCATATTTATAATAAATAATTTAGTCTATAAGATCGTTAAGGCTGCACTTACCCCCATCTGACTTTAATTCAAATTTTTGACAACCGGCGTGAAGCGCCATTAAAATTTAACCTTAAACACCTGAATTGAATGCCCTGTCATAGGGGCGTAAGTGCACCCTTAATGGAACATTAATGCAAAGAAACTTTCCCCTTGGAATACAAACTTTGAATTCAAATTGAAAGCAAAATTAGTAGATTCAATGGACGCAATTGTAGAATATATTACTTTTGTATGTTGAATAAGAAAGAAAAGCATTCTATAAGTCAAATCAAAGACATTGTCTCTCAAAATATTTCAATGATCTCAGAAAAATAAATATTTTTGAGATAATTATTTTTAATGGCTACACACTCAATTTTTCAAAAATGCTGTGGTTACTTTAAATTCAATGCTATGCTAAATGCTGATAAATAGTTTTCATAAATTTCATTGAATAGTTTACAATTCACAAAATTTTTCAAATAAATTATGAAATTTGTTAACAATGCATAAAATATGAAAAAAATTCATCTTTCTCTCAAAATTGTATAAAAGTATTTTTGAATGTGAGTTTTTGAAAATTGGAAAATACCCTCAATTTTTAACTTTTGCAACTCCAAAAACCAGGTGTTTTTCCAGAACTACCATCTAGGATGAGTCCTAGGAGCTATAATTCTAGGGTTAGATGATATCCACTTAGTACTTTTATTTGTATATGTTTTAGTGGAATTTGGTGAGGGGTCATGAAATTCGTATCTAATTTGCTATCATCTAAGCTGGTAAAAGTTAGAGAAAGCTATTTACTGGTTGTATATTACAAATATACCTTGTAATAGAAAATATAAGTGTTTGTGATTTAAATTCGCTCAATTAGCTCGAAAATTTGTTTTATATCCATGACAAACTAACACTATCCTATTTATGTGGTTTCCAATCTGTTCCCAAAATATATCAGCATGAATATATATATATTGATATTATTTGCAATTTCATCATTAAATAGTACCTTTTTTTCTATTTTTAATTTAGAAATGGTATATTTATATGATAGCGACACAATTTTAATTAAAAAATATATGTTATCGATCATCACACTCAAATTGAATTTCAAAAATTTTAGAATTTTTCAATTTCAATATTGAAAATATATTTCTTATATCATAGCGATTCATGTTATAATAATATGGAGAAAAATATTGTTTTAAATCTAAAATTTAAAATGAATGATTGGGCATTACATTAATCCAATTTATTGTTTATTTGTTAATCTAGTGGAAACAATTAATATTTTGGAGAAACAAAAATTTGAAATTTGAAATTTTGAAAAAAATGCATGAATCGGTAATTAAACATTGATTTATTAATTTATTAGCCATGCTTTTGATGTTGGTCTTATTCTTAAGCCGATTTAAAGAATTAATTTTTCCAAATCGTGTTTGACATTAACACATATAGATATATCAGGAAAAAAGGTATCACTTATCAAGTTATTGGTTTTTATGTATCTCCTAACTTTGCCTCGTTCTGAATACAATTCTAGTTAACGAATTTTAAATAACTATATGAAGAATACATCATTTTGGTTTTATTATTATTAAAATGATATATATTAGCTATGTATATGCTTGTAAGAATATTATTCCGTGAATTGGAAACAGAAAAAATAAATTTAGACAGAAAATGCATATCTTTAAAAAATAATATGAAATTTAGCTTTGATATTATTATCCGATAAAATATGCATGATAATTACTCCGCAAATAAAATTTAGGAAGCAAGTTGTGACGGTTTGGGCGGTTTTCAATGGCCCACAAGGAAGGAAGTATCGTTTTATCAGGCAACAAGAGGTCTTGAAATGAGTAAAGGACTGATCACCCTTGAAAGGTTCAAACTTGCTTGCGCGCCGCAGTCTTAAAAATGATATGTTTCACTTCTGGTCGAAAATTTCAACCTCTATGACAGTTGTTGGATGAACAATTGTGTAGCGGGATGAAATCTGAGTGCGGCCTGGGGCTGCAGCATCAATCTTCCCGGCATCTTTACCGCAATCATCTCTTAGATTGCACACAAAGTTGCGAACGAGCAGCTTTCTATGCGGTAAAGATGCCGGTAAAAGAGAGCCGTAGTGATTCTCTGCTGCAGCGTCAATCTTCCCGGCATCTTTACCGCAATCATCTCTTAGATTGCACACAAAGTTGCGAACGAGCAGTTTTCTATGCGGTAAAGATGCCGGAAAGAGAGAGTCGATGTGAGGTTCTTTTCGAGGGCTCCTCGAATGAGACACTGTTCCGCATTGATAACTTGAACGCGGAAGTTTGACCGACAAGAGTGTATTGTGCACTCCTGTCGGTCGCAGTGTCTCATTCTGGGAGACATTGCCTCTGCATGTCTCCCAGAATGGAACAATGTTCCGCATTGATAACTTGAACGCGGAAGTTTGACCGACAAGAGTGTATTGTGCACTCCTGTCGGTCGCAGTGTCTCATTCTGGGAGACATTGCCTCTGCATGTCTCCCAGAATGGAACAATGTTCCGCATTGATAACTTGAACGCGGAAGTTTGACCGACAAGAGTGTATTGTGCACTCCTGTCGGTCGCAGTGTCTCATTCTGGGAGACATTGCCTCTGCATGTCTCCCAGAATGGAACAATGTTCCGCATTGATAACTTGAACGCGGAAGTTTGACCGACAAGAGTGTATTGTGCACTCCTGTCGGTCGCAGTGTCTCATTCTGGGAGACATTGCCTCTGCATGTCTCCCAGAATGGAACAATGTTCCGCATTGATAACTTGAACGCGGAAGTTTGACCGACAAGAGTGTATTGTGCACTCCTGTCGGTCGCAGTGTCTCATTCTGGGAGACATTGCCTCTGCATGTCTCCCAGAATGGAACAATGTTCCGCATTGATAACTTGAACGCGGAAGTTTGACCGACAAGAGTGTATTGTGCACTCCTGTCGGTCGCAGTGTCTCATTCTGGGAGACATTGCCTCTGCATGTCTCCCAGAATGGAACAATGTTCCGCATTGATAACTTGAACGCGGAAGTTTGACCGACAAGAGTGTATTGTGCACTCCTGTCGGTCGCAGTGTCTCATTCTGGGAGACATTGCCTCTGCATGTCTCCCAGAATGGAACAATGTTCCGCATTATAACTTGAACGCGGAAGTTTGACCGACAAGAGTGTATTGTGCACTCCTGTCGGTCGCAGTGTCTCATTCTGGGAGACATTGCCTCTGCATGTCTCCCAGAATGGAACAATGTTCCGCATTGATAACTTGAACGCGGAAGTTTGACCGACAAGAGTGTATTGTGCACTCCTGTCGGTCGCAGTGTCTCATTCTGGGAGACATTGCCTCTGCATGTCTCCCAGAATGGAACAATGTTCCGCATTGATAACTTGAACGCGGAAGTTTGACCGACAAGAGTGTATTGTGCACTCCTGTCGGTCGCAGTGTCTCATTCTGGGAGACATTGCCTCTGCATGTCTCCCAGAATGGAACAATGTTCCGCATTATAACTTGAACGCGGAAGTTTGACCGACAAGAGTGTATTGTGCACTCCTGTCGGTCGCAGTGTCTCATTCTGGGAGACATTGCCTCTGCATGTCTCCCAGAATGGAACAATGTTCCGCATTGATAACTTGAACGCGGAAGTTTGACCGACAAGAGTGTATTGTGCACTCCTGTCGGTCGCAGTGTCTCATTCTGGGAGACATTGCCTCTGCATGTCTCCCAGAATGGAACAATGTTCCGCATTGATAACTTGAACGCGGAAGTTTGACCGACAAGAGTGTATTGTGCACTCCTGTCGGTCGCAGTGTCTCATTCTGGGAGACATTGCCTCTGCATGTCTCCCAGAATGGAACAATGTTCCGCATTGATAACTTGAACGCGGAAGTTTGACCGACAAGAGTGTATTGTGCACTCCTGTCGGTCGCAGTGTCTCATTCTGGGAGACATTGCCTCTGCATGTCTCCCAGAATGGAACAATGTTCCGCATTGATAACTTGAACGCGGAAGTTTGACCGACAAGAGTGTATTGTGCACTCCTGTCGGTCGCAGTGTCTCATTCTGGGAGACATTGCCTCTGCATGTCTCCCAGAATGGAACAATGTTCCGCATTGATAACTTGAACGCGGAAGTTTGACCGACAAGAGTGTATTGTGCACTCCTGTCGGTCGCAGTGTCTCATTCTGGGAGACATTGCCTCTGCATGTCTCCCAGAATGGAACAATGTTCCGCATTGATAACTTGAACGCGGAAGTTTGACCGACAAGAGTGTATTGTGCACTCCTGTCGGTCGCAGTGTCTCATTCTGGGAGACATTGCCTCTGCATGTCTCCCAGAATGGAACAATGTTCCGCATTGATAACTTGAACGCGGAAGTTTGACCGACAAGAGTGTATTGTGCACTCCTGTCGGTCGCAGTGTCTCATTCTGGGAGACATTGCCTCTGCATGTCTCCCAGAATGGAACAATGTTCCGCATTGATAACTTGAACGCGGAAGTTTGACCGACAAGAGTGTATTGTGCACTCCTGTCGGTCGCAGTGTCTCATTCTGGGAGACATTGCCTCTGCATGTCTCCCAGAATGGAACAATGTTCCGCATTGATAACTTGAACGCGGAAGTTTGACCGACAAGAGTGTATTGTGCACTCCTGTCGGTCGCAGTGTCTCATTCTGGGAGACATTGCCTCTGCATGTCTCCCAGAATGGAACAATGTTCCGCATTGATAACTTGAACGCGGAAGTTTGACCGACAAGAGTGTATTGTGCACTCCTGTCGGTCGCAGTGTCTCATTCTGGGAGAAATTGCCTCTGCATGTCTCCCAGCATGAGACAATCTTCTGCAATCAGAATGGACTGGGTCATGAAAAAGTTGCAAAAGTCAAAAATTGAGGGTATTTTCAAGTACATAAATAAAACGCTTTTTTATAAATAATATTTTCCACATTTGATATTTCAAATATGAATTAAAATCGATTTTGGTAAATTTTTTCTTTTTCACCATGATTGCACAGGTACTTGAAGTTTTAGTCTTTTTATTTACATATTTGATGTCGTTAATAGCTGAACAAAGCACTTGTTCAATGTATATTCTAGTAAATGGTGTACAAAAATATAAAAGCACGCCAACAAGAAAAGTCGACAATATTGAATTAATCGACAATTACAGTGTTATTCTTCCAAGTGGAAACTATTTAAAAATCAGAATGGGTCCTAAATCATGGCCATTTTACCGAGGTAACGCTTTGGATACAGATTGTCTTGGATTACAACACTCAATTTACCATCACTTTCATCGCGCAGATGTTTGTTTATACGGTGTTTACTTCTACGATTATTTTATAGAATTAACCAGAGATTTCAACCTTATCAAATATCCAAATTCTACGAATCATTCATTACAAGTGTACCAGAAAATCGTTTTAGGGTTTTCGCATCATTCTGAGTTTGGTCACTTCATGCATGATATGCTTTGCCCGATTATGTCAATGCCTGCTGAAATTTTGGAAGGCGCAGAAATCTTTGTCGTATTTAATGAAAACGAAGCCAGAAACATATTTTCATTCTTAGGTTTTGATCCGAAACGTATACATTCACTCACTGGTCAGTGGGTTCATGGAATTGATGTTCATGTAACAGTTAGCCAATTTGGAATTAACGCGATGTTCCAAGCTTGGATTGATTTGCACCATTACATATATCAAAAATACAATTTGTACAATATTGCTCCAACACAAATGACAGCAATCAATAAACCAAAAGGAAATTGGGGATGTGTTGGAAATCTAGATTCTCTTTTCGAACGAGCTAAGTCATTCTACCCAGAATATAACTGGAAACTATATCCAGCGAGTACATTGTTTGATATTGAACGTACAGCCAAGATTTTAGCAGCATCTAAGTTATATGTATCGGCAGCAGGTTCCTCATGTTTCAACTGCATTTATATGCATGAAAACACACAGATTTTGTTCTTCACTCGACAGCTTCCAGATAATCCAGCGTTAGCAGGTGTTGCAACACTTGGCATTTTTGCATATGCAATCAGCACAGAAAACTTATCTAATGTTTCTATTTCTGATTTCGATCCTGGGCTTCACGAGATCATGTATGTTGTTAAATATGGTCATTGGAATAATGGTATCGAAAACAGAACAAGCCTGCTGTTTGATATATCATTTTACAAGAGAGGAATTGATATATATAGCGAAACAGGAAAAACAAATGTTCTTGTCCACTCTAAATCATTTAGAACAAATACACATCGTAAGATTCAGCCATGCCGCACTTTCATGGAGTTTTTTTAGTTCCAAGAATAGAACTACCAGTTAAATATTATATTATATTATATTATATATTTTTGTTTTGTATTTCCTAAAAATTGAATTTACCAATAAACTAATTTTTTGAATTGATTCTGGATACTATGTCCGAATACTTGTAATATCAGTAATTGAATGCTCTAATATTGTAATTGGTCTTAATATATATAATTTAACAATGATACAAACGCTAATATATCTAGTAATTTAACAATTTTCAACTTTTATATAACAAAATTGAATTTGATAAGCAAAAGCTCAAATCCAAGGAATTTGCGGTGATAACATAACCAATAGAGAACAATTCTAATATAACGAGCGTATTATTTGATAAAAATATGTTGCAGTCAATTGTTGGAGGAAAAAATAATGCCACTTTTTTACCTCAAAAATAAAAAAAAATGCAGTCTGAATTAATTGCTGCTGCAAAGGAATTCATTGTTATTTTCTACAATTTCGTAGTTACTAATAAGAGAGATATATACAAATTTTATGACTCCAATGCCATTATTGTTCATTCAGATCATGAACAACCAATTAAAGTTTCAGAAATTAACGAAAATAGGGAAATATTCGAGCCAAATACACAGTTAAATGTAATCAACTATTCTGTCGTTCCAAATGGCGATGCTGTTAACATAACTTGCAATATTCAGATCAAAACTCCATCTGGTACAAAATTAGGAACAGAATGTTTTACTATGGTTCAGAAAGAAGGCAATTACTTCATTGTAGCCGATAATTTATATTATTTACCAAACGAAAATCCGGAATTAGTAGAAATACCTTCATTTAAGCGCCAAAACAGATTCCAAGATAAGCCACGTGGTAAGTTCAATCCTCAGAAGTTTGCTCCTTACAAGCCTCACTAAAATTATTATATTTTTCGAAATATTCCATATTAAGGCACTAATGTATTTTGAAATATAAATAAACTGATTATAAATATATTCTTTACTTACTTTTTAATAGCTTATTCTCAAATCATAACAAATATTATTTTCAACCATGATAAAAGCAAAAAAAATTACCATTTGAATAGATAAGAATATAGAAAATCATTTATACGAACAAAGAACTGAAGTTATTAAAGAGCTGTTTTTCTTAGGATAGGACTAGCGAGATATTCGAGCATCTTAGATGTCTGTGGGCTTTGTAGGAATCCTGCTGGCATCGGACTTTTGAAAAGAACATTGGCTGATTTATTTTCAACATTAGAAAATGGTTTCTTCTGAGAATTCTTAAATTCATCAATGGCTGTTCGAAATGATGTAGTGGCAGCCATCAAATCATTTTTATATCTGTGGTCAAGCATCATGGTATATCCTCCATCACAATAATCTGCCCATTCGCCTTGGAATTTTCTGTAACCTCCATCCAGTATATAAACATCTGGATAGAAGAGATTTGGATACTCATTTGAATCTCTATCAATATTTCTAAATATTGATGCCATCTGAGGTCCTCTATTATGAGAAAATTCGCAATGAAATACTATTAATGCGTTATGTATTGGTGTCTCAAAGAATAATTTTTTGAGTAATTGAGGATCGTTGCAATTTATTGCTCCATTTATATGCCCGCCTTCATATTCATATGGGTATCTGCAGTCTATTATATATAGTTTCTCGAAGTATTCGTCATACACTCCAGTGATAATGTCAACAAGTGTATGTCCAGTAATTCTTGGAATCGGGCCGCTCGATTCAAGAACTGGAATTCCGCTTTGATAAATTAATTCTTTTTGCTTTACAGGTGAAAAGTCAAGATCTGGAACTGGAACACCTGTCTTCGAAGGAGATTTAAAGGGCGATCTCATTATAATTTTTTTAAACGTACGTTTTCTTTCAATTTAGATTTTAGGAACTTTTGAATACAATCATACATCAAACTTTAGAAAGTTGCGAAACATATTGTATGTACCCTTTTGGATCGGTTCCAACAACAAATGAAGAAAAATAGAAAGAAATTATTTGGAAAATTTAGAAAATTAGAATGAAGAAAGGAGACAAAAAAGTACTTGCAGGTAATAATTAAAAAAACATTATTTATTTAACAATTAAAATCAAATTGAAACATAATATTAGATTACAAGTATCCAACGCGGTTGTGGTCAACACGGTATGAGTCGCTATCAGAGAAATCTGATGATGGATGATCAAATACGTTGTTATTTGCCTTTCTTGGGCTGGAAGTAACTCCATAAGGCTGATTCTGGTCGTAAACAGCAACGGTATCATCGGAAAGCATTGAACCTCTTTGGACGATGATTACAATTGAAAATCCGATCAATGAAATAAGCATTAGGTGAATAAATATAGAATACGAGGCAAAATATGGAACTGGATTGGCACAGAAGTTGCTAAGTGTGTTATTTGTGCCGCATGATAATGCTGGGATAGTAACATTTTCTTCAGGATCACATTCTTGCCAATCATAATATTTACTGTAATCAAAATCAGGATCTTTCAAGGCATCAACTGGTATTTCTTGAATGGATGTATTAGATAAGAATTGATTGAAGAAATTCTGAGTCAAATCATAGCCATTTTCACAAACATCTTTTCCAGCAGTTGCAATTGCTGTTACTGTAACTCCTAGTGCTCCAAACAAAAGAGCAACTATGATTACGAAGAATGAATATGAAGAAGCGCAGCAGATCGAAAGTTTTGATCTGGAAAAGTAAACAAGAGTCTGAAAAACGTACATAAGAATGAAGAAAGCAAAGAATATATAAATCCAGACGCGGATAATGGTCCATGTCCTAACTGGAACTCTTCTGAAATGGTGCTCGAGTAAATATGTCGAATTTATACCTTTGTCTATGATAGATGCTACCTCGTCATATAAGTCCTTCTTTTTCCTTCCGCACTGTGTATCGTTATAACTTAAGAAATCTTCTTTTAAGTTTACAAGAGCAGCGTTTGCTACTTCTGGGAAGTTTGTGAATTGAGAATAGAATCCTTCTCCATAGTATATATTCATGCAGTAGTAAATCATCGAAACAAAGAAGATAATCGAAAAAATTATATACGAGATTAAAGAGCATATGCCTGGTCTGGTTGATTTATGGGGGATGCACGCACATGCGCATGAAAACGATATAACTAGTGCTACAATTATTGTAATGCAAGATATAATAATTATCGGAATAGCTGAATAACCATCGCCAAGAGTAAATGCTCTAAACTGCGTCACGTATCCATAGAATGTATAAGATGTTTGAATTGATGGTTGCGTAGAAATATTAAATAATTTTATTGATGTTTTTGGTTTAAAACTAACATATGCTGAATAAAGTGCACTTACCGTATTTGGAACATCATGGAACTCACAATCGTATTTCTTGAAATTGAGCAGTGTAAGTAAAGAAAGCATTGAAAGAAAAAGATTTTTGAATAACTGAATACGTTTAAAAGGGATTCTTGAAAAAAATAGAACAAATGACATGACTTAACTTTGCTTATATCAAATATTATATGGAAATATATTTCCGGGTGTTTTTCATTAAAATTTGAGAAAATTAGTTGTTGGATTAGGAAAAAATGAATTATTCTTAATACTAGGGAAAATATTGCTCCATTTAGCTATTTATTCTTTATTGTTTTAAAAATCTTCTTCTTTTTTTTTTTTGTTATTATTTTGTTATTATTATTATTGATATTTATTTATCTCGAAAGAAAAGGCTCAATTAACCCTTTATAATTACCAAATTAACCCTTTATAATTACCAAATGATTAGTCGGTGAGTTTTCCGCCATTAGAAAGAAGAAGTTTGACTGTTTCTTTACAATTATGATATACTGCACTACAAAGAGCTGTTCTACCGAAATTATTTTTCTGATTGATATTTGCACCAGAATTAATCAGAAGCTCAACTATTTCGTAACAATTTTGTTTTGCTGCATGATAAAGAGCTGTGCATCCGGCTTTATCACTCTGATTGACATTTGCGCCATATGAAATAAGAAGCTTAACTATTTCGTAACAATTATGTTCTGCTGCACTACAAAGAACTGTTCTTCCGTATTTATCGCTTTCATTGACATTTGCGCCATGAGAAAGAAGAAGTTCAACAATTTCTTTTTTATTGCCAAATACTGCCTTCAGAAGAGGTGTTTCTCCAGTTTTATTTTTTTCATTGACATTTGCGCCATGAGAAAGAAGAAGTTCAACCATTTCTATACTGTTATTCAATATCGCAATATGAAGAGAGGTTAATTCATAATCAGCTTTATCGATGTTTGCGCCATATGATAGAAGAAGTTCAGCTGTTCCTATACTATTATAAATCACTGCTTGATGAAAAGCGGTTGTTCCAGATTCATATTCTGTGTTAATATTTGCTCCGTGTAAAAGGAAATATTCACAAAGAGGTGGGATATCAAACGCCGTTGAATAAAAAAAGCATTTGTTAACATCATTTGTTTGATCAAAATAAATTAAAAATGATTCAAGATCCTTATGCATTACGCAATATTCTAAATCTATATCCTCTTCGAACTCATTCATCAAGAATGTAATAAAATCAATATTGTGTGAAATATTTGCACGTGCTATGCATCCTTCATCTGGTACTTCATATTTCAAACATTCACTTATGATTTCTGGATTTCCGCCTAAAAATGATAATTCTAGACAGTTAGTAGTTATTTCTGAGTTGAATTTCGTTCTTATTAACTTGAAACAATCAACTGCCCCGTAGTAACAGCATAGCTTAAGTAATGAATAACCGTCTTTAGAATATGGATATAAATAACTTTCCAATTTTTGATTTTTATCAAATTCTTCACTTTCGGTGAAGAAGATGAATCTATCTTTGTCATTATTCATGATTGCTCTGTAAATTGTATCTTCTGAAAGAATTTCTAGTTTTTCGGATTTCAATAATTTGTAATCATCTGCCATATCAAAATTAATTCCATATTCTTTATAAAACAGGTAACTAGAAGTTAATGGAATATTGCCGGCCTCTTTTATATGATAATCATCAGATATTTGTTTAGCAAGTGCTAAGTATGACTTTGTACAGCGGTTATTAAACGTAATAATATGTAAAATGTTATTCATAACATTCCTCGGAAGTTGTTTATTTGTTTCAATCAACTCTGTTTTGATCATGTTATAAATCGACTTTATTTCTTCTTCATTATTTGTTTTTAACTGATACAATGCCTTGTATGAATCGATGTAGTATTTACAAATACTTCTCAATTCATTGTATTTATTTGAATCCGTGACTTGATCATACATGAAAAAATTTGAAAGCCTTTCTTCAGACAATACTTCAAATCAAAATAAGCAATGATGGATTTTTCATATTAGTGTAGTAACGGCTTGGCTGAGTTGTTAAGTCAATGAATTGCTAATCCTATGGATTTAATTCCTGTCTTTCGTCTTAAAGATTTACTTATACCCATCTGACGAGGATTCAAATTTTTGACGATGAGCATGAAGAATAATTGAAAATCAGCCTTAAACTAAAGAAATTGAATGCCGTGTCAATACGGCGAAAGCTTGCCCGAAACACTAAAAAAACTAATACGTATATAAAAGTTTGCTGTTGGAAAAATATATATCTATTGAAATTAATTATTTCAAAAAAAATCATCGAGTATTTGTTAATTTTGAATGAAAGAGTTCAACAATTTCGTTGTATAGTGCCTGGGGAAAATTCTTTAATAATATACAATCTTAATGTAAAGGCTTTTCATTTAATTTTAATAATTTTTTCACTTATGTAAAAAATCTAACAAAAAGAATTCGTATTTAAAATTAAATTTATAATGATTGCTTAACTTTTATTTGCTCAAACTGTGCTTCTTTTGTTTTAACAAAAGGTATTTTCCTGTCACTATAATTATAATATGCTACAAAATGAAAAACCACTTATTTCACTGGTATCTGCTCCATGAGAAATAAGAAGATCGACAATTTCTTTGTTTTGATTTTCTTTGGCAATATAAAGTGCTGTTCTTCCATCATTATTTTCTTCATCGATATCTGCACCATATGAAATAAGAAGTTCAACTGCCTCTTTACAATTTTGTTCGGCTGCATTATAAAGAGCAGTCCTTCCATCATTATCTTCTTCATTGATATATGCGCCATGAGTGAGAATAAATTCGACTATTTCTGTCTTATTTTGCAACGCTGCAAGATGTAGAGGGGTTTCACCATCTATATTTTTTGCATTTATATATACGCCATGGGAAAAAAGAAGTTCAGCAATATCTTTACTATTTTGTTCTGCTGCGAGATGAAGAGCTGTTTCTCCATCTATATTTGTTTGATTGACATCTGCACCATGTGCAATAAGAATTTCAGCTATTTCTTTACAATTTAGTTCTGCTGCATTACAAAGAGCGGTTTCGCCATCTCCATCTTTCTCATTGATAAGTGCGCCATGAGAAATAAGAAGTTCGACCGTTTCTTTACTATTTTGCAACGCTGCAATATGAAGAGGAGTTTCTCCTTTAGAGTTTTTTTCATTGACATCTGCACCATGTGAAAGAAGAAGTTCTACTATTTCTATGTTATCTTGCAGCGCTGCAAGATGGAGAGGGGTTTCTCCATCTTGATTCATTCTATTGACATTTGCACCATATGAAATGAGAAGTTCCACTGTTCCTTTACAATTAAGTTGTGCTGCTTGATGAAGAACGGTTGTTTCTGATTCAAATTCACTGTTGACAAGCGCACCGTTATTAAGGAATTATTCGGTCAAATGTGGAACATCAAACATTGTTGATTCGAAAAAGCATTGGTTAGCATCATTTGTTAGATCGAAATAAATTAAAAATGCCTCAATATTATGGTATTGACCGCAACATTCTACATCGATGTTAAAATTATTCTCTTTCATCACATATGTAACAAAATTAATGTTGTGCGATATAATTGCATATTCCAAACTTTCTTCGTCTGGCCATTCATTATTCAAGCACTCCGAAATGATCGCTTGATTTCTTCCCAAATATGAAAGATTGAGACATCTTTGTGTTATTTCGGATTTAAATTTCGTTCTTAAGAACTTGAAACAATCAAATGATCCGTAGTAACAGCATAATTCAAGTAATGAATATCCATTCTCACTAAAAGGATATAATTTGCTTTTGATTCTTTGATTCTTTACATAAAAGTTGCCACTTTCTGTGAATTTGATTAATCTTTCTGTGTCATTATTCATAATTGCTCTGTAAATTGTATCATTTGAAAGTAAATCCAAATTTTTTGTTTGAATTTTTTTGAAATCATCAGTCTTGTGTAATTTAATTCCATATTCTTTATAAAAAAGATAATTTGTAACTAATGAAAGATCTTTGACCTCTTTTATATGATAATCGTCATAGATGAATTTCGCAAGAGACAAATATGACTTTGTACAGCGGTTATTAAATGGAATAATATGTAAAATGTTTTTAATAACATTTCTGGGAAGTTGTTTATTTGTTTCAATCAACTCAGTTTTGATTTTGTTATAAATCGACTTTATTTCTTCTTCATTATTTGTTTTTAACTGATACAGTGCATTGTATGAATCGATGTAGTATTTACAAATACTTCTCAATTCATTGTATTTATTTGAATCCGTGACTTGATCATACATGAAAAAATTTGAAAGCCTTTCTTCAGACAATACTTCAAATCAAAATAAGCAATGATGGATTTTTCATATTAGTGTAGTAACGGCTTGGCTGAGTTGTTAAGTCAATGAATTGCTAATCCTATGGATTTAATTCCTGTCTTTCGTCTTAAAGATTTACTTATACCCATCTGACGAGGATTCAAATTTTTGACGATGAGCATGAAGAATAATTGAAAATCAGCCTTAAACTAAAGAAATTGAATGCCGTGTCAATACGGCGAAAGCTTGCCCGAAACACTAAAAAAACTAATACGTATATAAAAGTTTGCTGTTGGAAAAATATATATCTATTGAAATTAATTATTTCAAAAAAATCATCGAGTATTTGTTAATTTTGAATGAAAGAGTTCAACAATTTCGTTGTATAGTGCCTGGGGAAAATTCTTTAATAATATACAATCTTAATGTAAAGGCTTTTCATTTAATTTTAATAATTTTTTCACTTATGTAAAAAATCTAACAAAAAGAATTCGTATTTAAAATTAAATTTAAATGATTGCTTAACTTTTATTTGCTCAAACTGTGCTTCTTTTGTTTTAACAAAAGGTATTTTCCTGTCTATATATAATATAATATGCTACAAAATGAAAAACCACTTATTTCACTGGTATCTGCTCCATGAGAAATAAGAAGATCGACAATTTCTTTGTTTTGATTTTCTTTGGCAATATAAAGTGCTGTTCTTCCATCATTATTTTCTTCATCGATATCTGCACCATATGAAATAAGAAGTTCAACTGCCTCTTTACAATTTTGTTCGGCTGCATTATAAAGAGCAGTCCTTCCATCATTATCTTCTTCATTGATATATGCGCCATGAGTGAGAATAAATTCGACTATTTCTGTCTTATTTTGCAACGCTGCAAGATGTAGAGGGGTTTCACCATCTATATTTTTTTGCATTTATATATACGCCATGGGAAAAAAGAAGTTCAGCAATATCTTTACTATTTTGTTCTGCTGCGAGATGAAGAGCTGTTTCTCCATCTATATTTGTTTGATTGACATCTGCACCATGTGCAATAAGAATTTCAGCTATTTCTTTACAATTTAGTTCTGCTGCATTACAAAGAGCGGTTTCGCCATCTCCATCTTTCTCATTGATAAGTGCGCCATGAGAAATAAGAAGTTCGACCGTTTCTTTACTATTTTGCAACGCTGCAATATGAAGAGGAGTTTCTCCTTTAGAGTTTTTTCATTGACATCTGCACCATGTGAAAGAAGAAGTTCTACTATTTCTATGTTATCTTGCAGCGCTGCAAGATGGAGAGGGGTTTCTCCATCTTGATTCATTCTATTGACATTTGCACCATATGAAATGAGAAGTTCCACTGTTCCTTTACAATTAAGTTGTGCTGCTTGATGAAGAACGGTTGTTTTCTGATTCAAATTCACTGTTGACAAGCGCACCGTTTTAAGGAATTATTCGGTCAAATGTGGAACATCAAACATTGTTGATTCGAAAAAGCATTGGTTAGCATCATTTGTTAGATCGAAATAAATTAAAAATGCCTCAATATTATGGTATTGACCGCAACATTCTACATCGATGTTAAAATTATTCTCTTTCATCACATATGTAACAAAATTAATGTTGTGCGATATAATTGCATATTCCAAACTTTCTTCGTCTGGCCATTCATTATTCAAGCACTCCGAAATGATCGCTTGATTTCTTCCCAAATATGAAAGATTGAGACATCTTTGTGTTATTTCGGATTTAAATTTCGTTCTTAAGAACTTGAAACAATCAAATGATCCGTAGTAACAGCATAATTCAAGTAATGAATATCCATTCTCACTAAAAGGATATAATTTGCTTTTGATTCTTTGATTCTTTACATAAAAGTTGCCACTTTCTGTGAATTTGATTAATCTTTCTGTGTCATTATTCATAATTGCTCTGTAAATTGTATCATTTGAAAGTAAATCCAAATTTTTTGTTTGAATTTTTTTGAAATCATCAGTCTTGTGTAATTTAATTCCATATTCTTTATAAAAAAGATAATTTGTAACTAATGAAAGATCTTTGACCTCTTTTATATGATAATCGTCATAGATGAATTTCGCAAGAGACAAATATGACTTTGTACAGCGGTTATTAAATGGAATAATATGTAAAATGTTTTTAATAACATTTCTGGGAAGTTGTTTATTTGTTTCAATCAACTCAGTTTTGATTTTGTTATAAATCGACTTTATTTCTTCTTCATTATTTGTTTTTAACTGATACAGTGCATTGTATGAATCGATGTAGTATTTACAAATACTTCTCAATTCATTGTATTTATTTGAATCCGTGACTTGATCATACATGAAAAAATTTGAAAGCCTTTCTTCAGACAATACTTCAAATCAAAATAAGCAATGATGGATTTTTCATATTAGTGTAGTAACGGCTTGGCTGAGTTGTTAAGTCAATGAATTGCTAATCCTATGGATTTAATTCCTGTCTTTCGTCTTAAAGATTTACTTATACCCATCTGACGAGGATTCAAATTTTTGACGATGAGCATGAAGAATAATTGAAAATCAGCCTTAAACTAAAGAAATTGAATGCCGTGTCAATACGGCGAAAGCTTGCCCGAAACACTAAAAAAACTAATACGTATATAAAAGTTTGCTGTTGGAAAAATATATATCTATTGAAATTAATTATTTCAAAAAAAATCATCGAGTATTTGTTAATTTTGAATGAAAGAGTTCAACAATTTCGTTGTATAGTGCCTGGGGAAAATTCTTTAATAATATACAATCTTAATGAAAAAAAAAAAAAAAAAAAAAAAAAGGTAGTGGGGCCTCCAGGCACTTCGTGCCCTCTAGCCCTGAAGATGTTTAGTATAATGAAGTTTTTTTTTTCTTGGGATGGGCTTCCAGGCACTTCGTGCCCTCTAGCCCATAAAAAATTTTTGAGAGTCGTCGCCGTTGACTTTTTTGTAGAGCGCTCAAAATAGTATAACTTTGTCCGGACAAGTAAGGGTCTATCGTCGCTACAGGAAAAGTTACAGGCGTTCCAAGGAAGTATACTTTGAGAAGCCTTTTCTCCTTATAGAATGAGATAGGACGGTTATTTTACAAAACTGACAACACTTTGACCGAGTAGTTTTTTGTGCTGAACAAAAAGTGTCATATAAACATCTGTCAAAAACCGTTTTTTACTTCACTTAAAATGCCACGTAAGCTACGTAAGAATATACGTAAGAGGAAGAGAGCATTGAAACATCCAATAGTAAAACTGACACCACAACAACAGTTGCAACAACAAATGATGAATGACCCCACTATGTTGCAACAAATGTCAAGCAACCCTATGCTTTTAAACCGAGTTATTGGTGCACAGAGTGGAGGTTTAAGAGCGGCACTTTTAGCGAAAATGGCAGGCTATGGTGGAGCTGCAGACGGAACAGCTTATAACCCTCAAAGTCAAATGAATTTGAGTTCACTCAAAAATCAAATAACAGATGTCAAAAAGTCAAACATAGACATACAGAAACAAATCAGTGAAAACGAAAAGAAACTAGAATATGACAGACACACAAAGAAACTCAATGAGTTAAACGTAGAGAAAAAGAAGAAAGAAGAACAACTGAAAGAACTAAGTACAGAGGAATATGCGAAAAAAGTGTCAGAAAAAGCAGCAGAAGTAGCAAAAATGGAACAAGATGTCATAAATTTGAAAAACCATACTACTCAATATAAAATACTGAAAGATGAAGAGATAAAACAAAAAGCCCTGAAGACATATATGGATAGCGATGAGTATAAAAAAGAAGTTGAAGCAAATGTAAAGGCAGAAAAACTTTTACAGTTGCAAAACCAAACCGTACAGTATGAAAACTTAGCACAAGAAAGTAAAAATAACGACGCAGCCATGCAAAAGGCAATGAAAAGCGCAGAATATATAAAAGCTAATAATGACTGGTTAGATGCCCAAGCCAACGCCAAAGCAGCCCAACTTATAGGGTCAATAAGGACAAAAATACAAGCGGATGAAGACAGTTCAAATGAAGCTTTAACAAATGCTGACTTTAAGAACGCTTTCGAAGCTCTTCATAGTAAGGTGAAACAAGTGAACGACTTCTCATCTGGAAAGAAACTGAAGTCTGAAGGTTTCGACAAAGAGTTAAAAGAAGTAGCACAAAATATGACGAAAATAACAGATGCAGCAACGAGACAGGCAGTTCAAAGTGCCTATGACGCCGTTAGAGCAACTGTTGTGAAAAGTCAAGAAAAAGAGTTACAACAGACCAAAACAGACCTAGTAAATGCTTTCTTAAGAACGAAAAGTCAGGTAGGACATTACGCTGCAGATGGAACATATGTGCCAGCTGGTGGAACTTATATACCACCAAACCCTCCAAGAGAAGCACCTGCACCAGGACTACCTAGAACATTTACATCGTCACATGAACACAGACACAGGCATGCACCAAAACCAACACAACAACCAACAGTTCAAAACCCTGCACAACAACAACAACAACAACAACCAACACAACAACCAACAGTTCAAAATCCAGCACAACCAACAGTTCAAAACCCTGCACAACAACAACCACAAACAGAGCAAGGACATAAAAGAAGTAGAGAACAAGGAAACCAAGAATTCTTAAAAATGCTTAAAGAAGAGTGTGGTTTCCCAGATACTGTTGACTTTAGTGACAGATATAAAGAAGCTATTAGAAAGTTCAAGGATGGAAATACTGACCCGAACCTATTTAGCTTTATGGCTCAGCACCAAAACGGATATAATCTCAAACCTGGAAAATACAAGCTCGCTAAGGGATATGATTTAATAGCATATCATCCAAATGACATGGATGAATTTACTCCGAGATATTTTGATGTCAGAGCTAAATGACAATTCAACTTTCGTCATGAAACGCGTAAAAAATAGAGACGGAACGAAAGAACAAAAGCTTATGAATGCGGATGACGTAGATAGGGAAATTGTTGAAAAC